GACAGGCACGCAAGCGGGAGTTAAACTATGCCTCAGGTTGGTCAGCTATGCCCAATCTACCCACTATCCCTATTATACATTTGGAACCCCCCACACCCTCCCCCCCTGAGGAACACATGCTTTGGGCTTTCACCCCAAGCCTCCCTTAGTATCAAGAGTTAGTCTCTGGGACAAGCTCAAAACTTATTAAATATGGAATGTCTTTAGATTGTGAATTTAGACACGGGACAAACATCATTGTGTTCAAGACAATCTCTACATTTCGTAAATATGCCAAATGAGTAAATCTGAACACTTTCCATAAATAGTATTTGGGACCGAAATGAGACTAACATAAAGGGCATGATAGTGAGGGTGTTTAACAGATACGGTAAGCTATCATTCAGCGATATTGAGGGACTAATCTTAATACGTAAGGGTTCTTGTCAAACCAGTGCAAAATAGAGCAAAAGAAAACTAAGAAGCTATGCTTGGCTAAATAGACACTTAGGAATTCCTTCCTTATGCTCGTCTAGCCAAATAAAGATGCAAAGTCCAGTTTACTAACACGTGAACAAGAGGGACTAATAAAGGGTCCAGCAATACCGACCTCTTGCCATCATGGCAGTAAGGAAAGAGTGTTCATAAGGACTAGCTGATAGGTAACTTTCGATACCCGAAGTCACACTTGCGACACTCTCCCCCCCTAGGGAAGATCAAGGTCCTCATCGATGTATACTCGAGTTTAGACCACTGCCAAAGAAACAACTCCAGAAAAATTTCATAGTGATCACACTATGTGAGAAATGCACCAACTTAAATAAGTTAGGAGGCAACCTTTTTGTCTAACGCAGATGCACTACTAGCTCAAACACCTTCCAGCCGTCGCCGACAAGGAAATGTCTAATAAATTTAGCCACCCTTGCTACTCTAGGTGTCACCCAGCTTACAAAAGTGTGATACACCTCTACCTATAAAGACATAGAGAGAGAAGCCAGAGGCCCTAACTTTCTGAGCAAAGAAACCAAACTTGTCGGTAAGGTTTAGATAAACTACTGTAAACAAGCAGTTAAAGTTGTTTATATGGTCACGCCCTTTTAACGGAATAAGGAACATCGATAGAGAGGCGGGTTATGTGACCAATCGACAGTAGCTACCCCATGATTAAAGATTTCACCATGCACACGAAGTGCTAAAGCCAGTCTACCTATACTGGCCCAAACTCAAAGATTAATAGTGGACAATATCAAAGTCATAGACAATGATATCTTAAAGACTTAATTATCAATGAAGAAATCTTAAATTAGAACACAAAAGTATTCCAAGTAAGTTATCATCTGATAAATGAGTATAAGAGTACAGAAACCACCAAGATCATCATGTTTAGAACACATAGGATTCATCATTCAACAAAATTCAATAGCCAGTGTATCATCGAAAAAACTCAATGAGAAAATTTAACTATCGAAAATTGTAGACAGTATGCCAAACAACTTACCAAAGATAACTTAAAGAACACAAAGTATCATTAATCGATAAGCACAATACTTGTGAATGTATCATTTGAAGTAAATAACATCTTAATCTATCATAACTAACTCGAGCAACAATCAATAAATGTGATAAAACCCACAAACAATTAATTATGCCAACTATCACGCTAACCAATCTGAATAAATCCTAGTCAACAATACAAAGAAACTCAAATTGCTTAAGCAAGTGTTAGCAACATCTTATTGCACTACCAACCCACACAAATGGCTGGACACAAGGGCTGAGGTGTTTTGGGTCAAGGCCAGCACCATGGCCATGGCATTTTCCCTAGCCACGGCCATGCTCGCATGATTGTTGTGGCTCACCTCGAAGGGGAATTCTTTAAGCCATTTTTTTTATCTCAAAAATGAGGCTTTCTTTACTTGCAGAAATGGCTTGAGCTTGGGTTTTTGTGCTGCATGGCCGCCATAGCACTGGCCAACAAGGTATTTAGGCATTTGATTTTGTTTCATTAGAGTTGGAAAGTCTCTTCTTTTGTAAAGATGGACTTTTGTAGTCAAGTCTCCACAGCCAATAAAAAAAAGTACAATAACGAACTTTGCACCACATTTGCAATTTCGTGGACTGAGTGAAGCATAACACAGGCAGCTATAAAACCCTTGTGGCACTGTAAAGTCCACGTGCTAATTGATTATATTAACCTTAATAAAATCAATTGATTAATCTTGAAATCATGAATTTATCAATCAACATTATCAATTCAATAGCATGAATTGATCAATTAAATCATGAACAGATCAATCAATTCATGAATTGATCAATAAACTCATGATTAGGTCATTTATAATTCAATTAATCTGTGATTGATTCAAATAAAACAGTCAATAATAAAGCACACTTTGTCCACTGTATGGAAGGCCATATGTTAACCGATACACTGGTTGATCTAGCTGTTTATAAAGGTCATGAAAACACACTGTATCCTAATTTAAGTGTTTGTGTTGGAGAAGTTTGGGGGTACCTCTTCTTGTTTTGTTGGTAATAAGGAGCTGTTAAGTCTTTGATTATATACAATGTAAAATATCATTTAGCTTCTTTTAGAGCCTTGATCGCATAACAGGAAACGTTAATATGATCCTCTTTTTTACTGCACTGTCGTCTTTAAAGTCGTGCTGCAGATCAAAAACGTCTTCTACGATCATGCTTGCAACATCCTCAAGCTTCTTCACAGTCCGTTCTTCTAGGTGGTGTTGCTTAACTTCTTCTATTTGTTCTTGGGCCATTAATCCTTTGGTTTGTTCCATCGAACCACCAGAAACCTCGCAGAGAAACTTTGATACAGCTCGTTTGTAATCTTCGGTGTGGTGTCGCAAATGTGCTGTGGCGGACAACAAAAGCGAGTGAGCTTGATCCAGAGTGAAAGGAAACTAAAAACTCACCGACGTGATCAGACTCTTCCCAGTGAACTAAAGTCACCTTCTTGAAAGTTTGGCCTTGCACTTCGGAGACAAATTTTTCGATAACGTCGAATGGAGCTAAATCGTCATTTCTTGAACACAAGAACAAAGCCGGTGCCATTTCCTGCATGGACGACAATGAGATATACTTGCATGCGATACGAAAGTTCTACAATACCACGGCGGCGTAGAACGAGTCATTTAGCTCGACTCCCTGTTGCTCGAAATTGGAGCTAAACATAGACTCGAGAGCTCGGCCGCTCTTCTCCAGGCCAAACTTCACCGCGAAGTTGTTCCCCACACTGGTCCCAAGCATTCGCCTGGCGAAGCGAATCCCAGTCTCACTCACAAAGTTGATAGGAGTGGAATCGAATATGTAGCCTGCTGTGCAATCTCTCACAATCTTGTACTTTTCCTGAAGAAAAGAATTGAAATAAAACCGCCTTTAGCTGGGAAGAACTTTCAGCATACCATATCGCCCGTGAAACCTTGTGGACGTTTTCCTTGTAGAATCTGAGTGACCCGAAGACGATGATCGCAAAGGAATAAATGTAATGGAAAGGACACACCTGGATGATCATATATGTGCAAGCTTTCATGCCTCCAGAAAACGAAGTAAAAGTTACTGGCCTGGGCCTTTTGCTAAGCTCCTGCATATAAGAAAATGGTCTCAAGTTCATCCCTGGAGAAGGAGAATACCTCTACAAGCTCGTCCAAAATCTTCACAGCAATTGCAAGAGCTCGGGTGGGAAACCATCTACCAAAATGACGCAAAATCATGTCTGGCGACGAAAGAAAGAGATAAACAAAGCGAGAGCTTACAGATTGAGGAAATGCGCTTGACAAACGAGGCATTCCCAGCCAATTTCGTTGAAGAGATGGACGTAGGGCATATGATACCTCTTGTTGCTAAACATCCACGCCATCATCACTACCAATCCGCTGGAATCGCCGGCGCCGCGGCTCTTCTTGTCCCGGATCCAGTACCAGGAGCCCTGCCCGATCGATCCGCCCTGGCGGCATCGTCCCATTTCTCTCAAGCGAAGAAACAGTGACCAAGGAAAAGAAAAAATAGACCTAATTTTGATTGGCTTCGGAATTTTCAAATTTAGACGGCTAAGATTTGCCGATAGATTACGTCGGGGACTAGAACTTCCGGCGCGGAATGGCCAGCCAGCAACAGATCAAACAGTAAGCAATCGCATAAACCCTAGCTATCGGAGGCCGCGGCGGATGGACAATGTGGAATTGACGAGCGCGGCGGGAGGAGCGGCGGGGGGCGGCGCTGGAACGCATTTGCCGGAGAGGGAGTATCCATCGACGCAGGTGTGCTTGACGTGATCCGCCCAGTGCCTCGCCCAATGGACGCCCATCACCGCCACCACCACGATCACGAGGATGAGAAGGCAATAGATGAGCTTGCACGCCTTGCCCACGAAACACATTGCTGGATCCGGATGCCTGTGCTAGCAGAGAAAACCCTCTCGATCGATCGATCCCAAAGCCCTCTTTCCGGATTCTCGCAGACCTAAAAGCCAAATACTTTTAAGACGGACATGAGAATTCCAACGGTCACATGACTCGCGCGAAGAACATTTCCGGGCATATTCTTCTAGGTCTGGCTAGAATATATACGTAGGGATATACTGCGGCAGCATGACCTATCCCACTAGCCGGGGCGTGGAATTGTGCCAGGGGTGGTGTATAAAACCCCGCGCCGGCCCGGTAGAAATCTTATCTTTGCGCTTGGGGCAATGACGCAGTTCATGAGGTTTTACCGAGACGCGTCAATTGCTGGTTGAAAACTATTTCCAAACCCCCTCTTCGTGTCTCCTTCGGGAGGCCGTCGAGAATTTCTGGAAGGCCCGCCCTAGGCTCGGGCCTACAAATTTTAAATCTAAGTTGAAATCTTCGTCGGGAGGCCGTCGAGAATTTTTGGAAGCCCTAGGCAGGAACCAAAGGAATTTTAAATTAAAGTTAACTACTTTTCAACTTTGATTTAAAAAGTTTTTCGACTAATAGATCATTCAAATTTTTTGTTCTTATATCAATTACACTCCTACATCGATGTTAGGGTTAACTACTTTTCAACTTTGATTTAAACTTTCTTTCAACTAATAGATCATTCTAATGACAAGCCAAGGTTTTTGTTCTTATATCAATTACACTCCCACGTCGATGTCGATCACGATCGTAATCTAACGCTAGCGAACGAGATATTCAAACAAAAAATATCAAGGAGAAAATCGATGTCAACTTAACGCCATTAAACAAAGGGAGGGTGATTCATACTTCTTGTAATCAGAAGAGGCGGATCCGGAAGAGCCAGGGCAGGAGCAAGATGACGACGATGAAGGCGAGCACAAAGTTGCAAATGGGCCTGTGCTGCCAGAAGCTGCGTGGGCGATGGGGATCGCCCGCCCGCTCGAATATGGAGTCCGATTGCTCGTCGCTGTGTCGCCCGCAGCTCGAATCGTCCGCGCCAGCAGCCACATTGTGGGCGAGCTGGCCACAGATCTCGCAGTTCCTGCAAAACCAGCAAACAAATCCTTAGAACGCGGGAGAAACACGCAAGAACAGCCCAATAAACTAGAACATAAACCCTAAAAACCGGGGAAGCAGGGGAGGCACTCGGGCTCGCCGATCCGGCGAGACGAATTTCCTGCCCTGCGCAATTGGGTCCGGCTGGGATGATGATTGCCGCGGACCCAAATCGGGGATTCCATTAATTCAATGCTGGATTGAATCGCGGCGGGGGACACGAGGAGCAAAAACTCTTTTTTTCTAAGTCTCGTACCTGTTGCCTTTGATCTTGAACCAAGTCTCTGCGCAGCGGCGGTGCGCGAATGCTAGATCGTCCTTGCACGCGCAGCCGAGCTCAATTGGGCTGGAGGCGATCCCCTCGTCGACTGGATCGCCTGGATCCTCCTCGTGATCGCTGGAGCGCTTCAGGCCGAGCGAGAGATGGCACACTCTACAAATTCTGGCGTCTTCCTCGTCCCCACCACCGAGGGGCTGCGGTGGCTTGTGTTCTTCAAAACCCCCTTTCGTCGGTGGAGGCGGAGGATTTGTGGAGAGGGATTGGATCTCTATTGCCACGAATCCCCCCTCTGGATCCTGCGCTTTTGATCCGGCCGAGACATCACCGATACTTGGCGCTGGTAAGGACAAAGATGTTGATTCCAGCTCCTGGCTGGGAGATCTCCCGATCTTCTCCTTCCTCTCATCCAATTCTTCCACTGCATGCTGCAAATCTGTGGCATTTTCCTGCCGGGAATCACCCATAAATCCCTCTTCAGCAGCACGCAAGCATCGATCGATTCCTCAAGAACACGCAAAGAGGAGGAGAATCAATGCTTCTCGCGTCGTTGTGGTTCCATGTAGCGAGATAGAGAGAATATTCATCCCCTATCCAAGAGAGCAGAGCGAAAAAAAAACTACCTCGTCAAAATAGGGAAGGAAAATAAATAGCAGTAGATCTACCCACACAGCACCCTAATTTGTACCTCTTCCAAGAGGACTTATTTGGAACTCTTTCTCTGCGTATAAACTTAGGAAAAGCCGCATTATTAACTTTAAACCCACCACGTAGATTCCGTGCATTTCTTCCGTGTCACGGAATAGTACGTGAGTACAACACGCCTTTCGTACGCTCCTGTTAAAGTCCCTGTCTTGTTTTGTCCAGAGCGAGCCAAAAACAAAAGCTAAGCTGTTTAAAGAAAAAAAAAACCAAAAAAACCAAAGAAGATTCCTGGACTGTCCCTGTTGTTGCAATGTTGATCGTCCCTGTGAGCGAGCTGGAAAGAAATGGATTGGAAAAGCTTCGATCGAGATTTTAAGTACCTCCCTGGGGCGATAGCAATGAAAAGTTTTATAGCTTGAGCAAATGTACCCGGAAGAGCCACGGTAAGAACGGGATAACCACGCACAGCGACAGCAGCAAGTTGCAAAGAGCACGCTTGACGGTGTAGGAGTTCTCCTCTTGCATCTCCACATTGAGCTCCACGCTCATGACGAGATGATCGGGTCTTCGAGCGATGGCGCGATCAAAGCTTACGTTCTCGGCGGCCCGGCCGCATATCTCGCATGTCCTGGAGTAAGGAAAACTTCAACAACACTAGAGAAATGCGAAGAAAATGAGAGCTTTGAGCTTGCTTACTTGCTGCCCTTGATCGTAAACCACGTCGCTGCACAGCGTTGATGAGCGACCGCTAGCTCGTTCTTGCAGGAGCAGCCGAGCTCGATCGAGACATCGGCCTCGAGTGGAAGATGGCACACTCTGCAAACTCTGCCTTCTGCTGCTCCATTGGACTCGAGACTGTCCGGGCGTCGCTCGTGTAGCCTCTCTAGTTCTTGCTTAATTGCTGATGGAGCCGTTTCGTCCACATCTACGGCAACAAAATCCTGACTACACTGCTCGACCTCGGATTTCCTGGCCTGTCTGGTCTCGTTTTCTTCAGGCTCTGATATCATTACTGTCTTGTCACTTGAGAGATCCAAATTTCTTTCCCTTCGAGTATGTGTGTGTACCTCGGGACGCTTTCAGGATAATCGCCTAGTTAGCATTCCTCCATCTGATTCCTGACGAATGAACAGGAGCAAACAAGAGCATTTAGTCCAGAATATTGCAGAGCGACAAACAAAACTATTTCACCCAATTCTTGCCTCTTTGTGTTCAGAGCTTAATTCCAGCGACAACTTGGTAATTACAAGAACACGTGGTAAGCTCTAGCCCCGGAAAGAATCTTGTACCTCGCTCATAAAATGTTAGCGGCTTCCGGTGTAAGCAAGCTGACATTCACGTCAAAACACTGGGAGGTTCCAACAAGGCGTTTTCGTGTCAGATAAGCTTAGACTACAGCGTGTACCTCGCTTTCACAATATCGCCTTTGACCAATAAACCAGTGCTGAAACTCTTCAAAATAAGAGCCACATATCGCATCGCGTATTGCTTGGAAAAACGAGAGGTAGTGGTGAATGTTATGCCTGCAAAGGAATAACGTCAACGCAAGCTCCAGAAAATTAGGAAAAGAAAGCCTACATGTCAAGCAAAGTTTGAGCAACCATCTCGTGTGTGTTTAGCAAGTGATTGATGTACGCTCTCGTGTGCTTTTGGCATGTATAGCAGGTACAACCGGGCTTGAGGGGAGTCACGTCGCATCTATAAGCATCAGCCACACTTTAAGCCGGAAAACACTATCTAGGACATAACGTAAGTTGGACATATAGTAATACCTGTAAGCTATTGATCGGAGGTTTATTTTCGTGAAGTCTGCACCGAGCTCGGCTCCATCTTCCAGAGAAAATTTCCACGGCTTTTCGTCCATCGACAGTGGAAAGGTCATTGCATAGCCTCCTTTGGTCAGTGTATGCGGGTAGGTGCTGTCGAAGATATCGACACCAGTAGAGACTGCTTGCAAAATTTCCTCTGGCACAATGGATTAGTCACACAAGTTGGAATGCGATAAATCATCGATATACCTGGCATTCCCAGGCCACTGATAATTCGTGGAAGGTCTTTCGGCAAGCAATCCTAGAGAGCACAGAAAACACCTCAAACGCCAGTTGCATGAATCAAAATCTATATCTATCAAATGATATCATTTAGCTTACAGTAACACTTTGCAGCAATGTCAAACGATCCTCTGGGCTTTCCCCAAGTCCAAAGCCGCCTATGAAAAAGCCTATAGTCAAGGAGTCATCACAAAAATGCAAAACGAATACAGAGACTAAGTTCTAGAATATGAAAATGTACTCGCCTGAGACGTTTCTCTTAGCAGTCTCTGAAGCAGATCGCTTTCGTTCTTCTATGCTTGCACCTCCTACAATGGTTCCAAAAGATGTATTTTCGCCAACCTACAAACCATCATACTAGATTACTAAGTAAAATACTTGTCCGAAGTCATACAGATTGCAAACCAAGGCATTTATCAAGCCACTGCAGAGTCCGATCCACTGAGAGCTTATTCCGCCTTTGGGAAACCCAGGTGGGAAGCTCGTCCGCTATTGAAGCCCACACATTTGGCTTCAATGCGTTGACAAGTTCCATGTACTTTGCAGGACCAATCTAGTTAAAAAATCCCACCAGTTAAAACGGATCAAATAAAAGAACCAGCGTCGTGATGCTCACCACACGGCGACCGGACGATGTATTAAAGGCTGCACCAAGTTTGGTGTTCCCTTCTCCGTCGGGTTCGCTTACGATTGAGTCTCTGGCGAGGGACACAAGGGCGTTGCCTTGCAAGTTAAGTAGCTTGTGTCCTCCACCAATTTCATGGATTGTGCTCACTGGTGGACCTTCAAGGCTTGGAAAGAAAAAGAAAATCATGGAAAGAAGACTCTATCCAGCACTGACAACATCACACAAGCGAAGCGAGCGAGCGAGCAAGAAATCTATGAATGCAAATGGAGAAGCAAGCAAGAAAACACAAACCTATGAATGCCAAATGAAAACACCACGCACAAGCGAAACAACATCAATGCGGGGCTTACAAATGCACTGGATTGACGTGAAGAACGCGCGCATCTGGATGGAGCTCCGGCAGCAAATCCGTAGAGACAAACGATGGCAAACCTCGGCGCGTGGAGAGCAGCAGGCACGGCGTGTCCACAGGCGCCAGCGCCGCCCCAAAATTCATGACGCCACAGCGCGCGCCATCGCCTCCTCCCGCCTTGAGCGCAAACCTCATCACTAAAACGCCAAACCCTAACCTCTAAAAAGGAAACTCCAACGGTCCTCGTGGTCAAAGCATATCCGTCCGATTCGATAAATGCCAAATATTCGCCATTGCGCGATTAGGGTTTGTGGATCCGGGGTAGGAATGCCCGCGCAGCTGAAGCGCGATGCCATCGTCTCCAGGGAAGAAGCTCCCCGCGCTGAGATTCCAGATTTACAGGGCCAGGGCGGTGTGCTTGCGATCGGGCGCGGGGATTTTCGCGGCGTTTGTTCTTGGTGTGCTGCTAACGCTGCTGGTGGCGCCGGGGAGATTCGGCTGGGGGCCAGCGCCATGCCACCAGGTCGAGGATACGTTTCGATCCTCCGAGGCGTGGAGGTCGGGTGTTCTCCAGGAGCCGCTGGAATCGAGGCCAAAGGTTTTGGGCGTGGTTGGGATCCAGACAGGGTTTGGATCGCGAGAGAGGCGCAAGGCGCTGAGGGAGACTTGGATGCCTGATTCTCCGGAGGGACTGGTTTCGTAAGTTCGTGCTCGTTTTGCTTTCTTCGGTTAGATGTTTTTTTTCCGATTTGCTTTCCAGCTTACAGCAATCGACAGGACTTGCCATACGATTTATCATTGGACACACAGCTGACAAGAGAAAAATGGAGGAGCTGGAGGAGGAGATCGAAACTTACAAGGATTTTATACGCATCGATATCGAAGAAGAATATTTGAAACTCACACACAAGACGTATGCTTGCTCAAAGCTTGTTTTTTCTTTTTCTTTTATGCCATGTTCTTCCATGCGCAGGCTAGCGTATTTCAAGGCCGCTTATATGCTCTTCGATGCCGAGTTCTATGTTAAAGCAGACGATGATATCTATTTGAGAACCGGTATGTTAAGTTGTTTTGACAATGCAAGTAAACATTTTGCTATTTCCTTTTTATTTTTCTTGCGCAGACCGGCTTGCAACTTTGCTAGCCAAGGATAGATCGACACCGAGAACATACTTGGGATGTATGAAGAAAGGACCTGTCATTACAGATTCCAGACAGAAGTGGTATGAGTCTTTCATAAATTTTCTATTTCGCTTACGCGTCTAGTTCCGCGGAATACAGGTACGAGCCTCTGGCATATTTACTTGGCAGCGAATACTTCTTACACGCTTACGGACCAATCTATGCGTTATCATCAGAGGTAGTCGCTGCTCTGGCTATTGCTCGCAATGATAGGTACCATGCTCGCTTCGCGTTTCGCGACTAATTGCAACCCTTTCTTAACAGCTTTCGCATGTTCACAAACGAGGACGTGACCTTGGGCTCTTGGATGTTGGCAATGAACGTCAACCACGAAGACAACCGAGCGCTGTGTGAACAGACGTGTACTCCGACCTCCATTGCCGTTTGGGACATTCCAAAGTGCTCAGGCCAGTGCAAATTCTTGCAAGCTTTATTTGAAAATGACTTTAACTTTACACTTACAACTTTTCTGCTTGACACAGCAGGGCTGTGCAACCCCGAACAGAGGCTCAGGGAGGTCCATCAACTGGATGCCTGCTCCAGGAGCCCCACGCTTCCAGATTAGTCACACAACGACAGGTATGGGCCGTTGCTGTCATTTTGAAGACCAAAAATATAAATATCTTTCTTACAAGAGCTGTCGTGTTGTTACAGCCAAATTCTGCTCCAGGATGCTATTTCCCTCAGCTGTCGTTTTTCTCCATTCTTCTCTTCCGTGAAGAGCATACAGACAGTCCAGAAGATTGCTGGCGTTTTGCGGTGAGTAGAACAGTGAACAGTATTCTACTACCAGATGTGCATTAAATTCGACACACTTTCTACACAACTTTCGTTCGCACGTCTCTACTTGCTTGTTGTCGCAGTGTTTCGATTGATGCTCGCATCCTGCAAAATTATTACACATAAGAAGAGCTTCATTCGTGCGAAGAAAGACTTACGATGTTCCAACGTTCTTGAAAAACTTCCCCGCGTCGCGTCGTAAGTCCTCTATGATCGTCTCTGCTTTTCTAATATCTTCGTGTGTTGGTGTTATTTAATAGTGCGCGTCCTTGCTCTTCCTTGCCGACGGAGTTTATTCTCTTCCACTGGAGTCTTCGAGGTACTCTCCACTAAATCTTTGGTCTTGGACTTGGACTGCATATTGGAGGTTCCACAGGACGTCTTCCATCGAGGGCCTGGCGGTGAGGTCACTCGACAGGCACTTTGCAGCAATCTCCAGCACCGTCGACAGAGAATCCTCGGAACAAGTTCCCGAGATCGCCGAGTCCACCATCTCCGTCCGAAACACACTGTCCGTCAGCATCATCTCCTGGAAAAGAAGCAAGATCTAAGTCCTCCAGATAGAAAACGAGGAGGAGGAACTTACGAGCTCTTGGACTTTGGGTTTCATGGCCATGGGATTGTCTACGGTTGGTGGTCTCCCGAGAACAATCTCGAGTAATGTAAGTCCAAAGTTATACACATCTCTCTTGTCCGTGGCCAGCTTCCTGGAAAGAAAAAAAGAAAAGAAAGAGTGAGAGAGAAGAAACGAATGGAAACTTTCCTCCATACCTGTTACTGTGATCCAAATCGATGTATGTGACAGCGTTGTGTGTGAAAACATGCTGCGATCAATCCACAAAGTTGGTATAATCACAAGAACTTTGGAAGAATTACTTACGTCGGATCCATACGACTGGTACGACTCGCTCTCGGGATGCCTGGCTAATCCAAAATCGCTCACTTTTCCTACAAAATTGTGATCCAGCAAAATGTTCGTGATCCTCACGTCGTTGTTGAAAATCCCCGGCACGACGCCCGTGTGAAGGTAGTGTATACCCCGGCCGGCGCCGAGAGCCGCGACCAGCCGGTTTTGCCACGTTAAAGACTCCTTCAATTTTCGCTCTGGACGATCCACCAAGAGTGAGTACTGGAAAGTTTGCTAGAGAAAAGATGGAACTAGGAAAGGAAACTTTGCTAGAGAAATGATGGAAGTTGGAAGAGAAAACTTTGCTATAGGAAGGATGGAACTTTGGAAGAGGAAACCTTGCTGGAACCATTCGAAGAGGAAACTTTGCTAGAGAAACGATGGAACTTTTGGAAGAGGAAGGTAAAAATGGCAGGACTTACTGAAGAGATGGCTGCGAAGAGTGCCATTATCGATGAACTCGGAGACGAGGTAGAGCCGCCGGTGCTGGGGTCCATCCTTCTCTCGCTCGAGGCAGTAGCCAAAGAGACTGACCAAGTGCCTGTGTCGGATCCTCGACAGGAACTCCAAATGTGCCTTGAGCTGCTTCATCTCCTGCCTCGAATCGATAACCAGGCATTTGATCGCGACCAGCGTTCCATCGTCAAGCTTTCCTCTGAACACCTGCGAGGAAAAGTCCGGCTTTTTAGTCCTGGAAAACTATGATCGAGAACTTTGTTCCTACCTTTCCATACTCGCCCTCTCCAATGAGTAAACCTTGGCTGAATCGACTCGTGGCCTCTTCCAGCTCCAGCAGCGAGAAAACCCGACATTGGTTTGGTCCGGTTGCTCCGACAGTCCCGGATTGAGCCAAGTATCCTGCCAAAAACGCTCAAGAACAATGAATGGAAAGCACAAGCTAAAAGAACTTACTCGTGCTATGGAGGAGCTCCACGGGAACTCCCACCGAGGCCGTATCAGCACACGAGTTGTTCGCACAAGTAGCAGCCGCATGCTTGAGCTTGAGCTTCCCTCTCTTGGAGAAGCGCAGCAGTATCACCAGCAGTAAAGCCATGGCAGCACCCACGGCCATGACTCCGCCGGCGATCCCAGCTACAACGCCACCTTTCCACCGCCGCTTGGATCCACCAGAAGAAGAGCCCGGTCCCCCACTTCCACCATCGCCAGAGCTTCCGCCACCTCCACTCCCACCACCACTTCCAACCGGTATCATCCTCTGCGCCTTGAGACAATACTCTTGCGGCTGCTGCTGCTGGAGCTGGATCTCCTGCCCGGAGAAGCAGTTTTCCTCGACATGCAACGTGATCCTCCCGGACCGCAGCTCCGCGGGGACCTCCCCCATCAAAAGATTCGTGGAGATGTCCACGTATCGCAGCCCGCTCGCCAGCGTCACAGCACTGGGAAGAGTCCCGGACAGCCGGTTGTGATCCAGCACCAGCGTCTCCAAACTTTGCAGCGAGAAGATCCATCCCGGCAGCGCCCCGGGGATGGAGTTGAGCGAGAGGTTGAGGAGCTTGAGCTGGGAGAGGCCGCGCAGGCTGTCCGGGATGGAGTCGGAGAAGCGGTTCCTCTCGAGGTTGGCGGAGACGAGGCCCTGGCCGAGGCCCGGGAAGGAGGGGCCGAGCTGGTTCCCGGCCAAGTTGAGAGTGCGCAGGCTCGCCACCCGGCTCAAGTTTGGTACGACGCCGGCCAGGAAGTTGTCCGAGATGGAGATGGTCTCCGCCACCCTCATGTTGGAGATGGAGTCCGGGAGCGCGCCGAAGAGCAAGTTGTGGTCCATGTCGAGCGTCTTGAGGCTGGCGAAGAGGGAGATTTGCGAGGGGATGGTGCCGGCGATCTGGTTGTGCGAGAGCTGGAGGGTGTCGAGGTTGGGGAGGACGTTGAGCGCGGTGGGGAAGGTCCCGCGGAGGATGTTGTTGTCGAGGGCGAGCGACTGGAGGCTGCCGAGGGAGGCGAAGCGGTCGGGGATGGAGCCGGAGAGGAAGTTGGAGCTGAGGTTGAGGAGCTCGAGCGAGCGGAGGTGGTCGAGGCTGGCGGGGACGAGGCCCCAGATGCCGAGGGAGACGAGCGTGAGCGTGCGGAGGTCGGGGAACTTGACGAGCGTGTTGGCCAGAGTGATGATCGAGAAGTCGTCCGGGAGGCGGACCTGTGGAAATGCATGGGAAACTTGTTTAGTGGTGACCAAAGTTTCGTTTTTGATCGAGAAGAACGACAGAGTTTTGTGACAAACAAGTGAGTAAAAGTTTACGTGAGAAGCAAAGCAAATCAATGATCAGGAAGAACATCTAGATCGAGAAGAGACAAAGTGAGAGTTCTGTGAAAAACAAGCCAGAAGGAAGTTCCCATAAGAGTTCTTACGTAGCAAATCAATGATCAGGAAAACATCATCGTCATTCGAGTATGAGAAACAAACCACAGTCGATCGAGTGGACACATGCAAGAAAAAACACATTTTGAGAGTGGACTCTTTCAAAGATCTCTTCGCAGAGTTGCACGCAAGCTCGTGGAAAAAACAATGGATAAAATCGAACCGCATACGTAAAAGAACGATCATGAATCCGAAAGAAAGAAATATCAATCGACTAAAACGTGGTTCTCAAAAGAATTCCACGGAGAAGATCACTCATCAAGTGAAAATCTTACCTTTGAACGGAGGAAAAGAAAAGAAATATCACCATCAAGAGGCAGGTCATCATCCGCCATTCATGAAGAAAAAGATGAAAGAGATCACATCATCAAACCATCATCACCACCATCATAGGCAAAGAACACAAACCAAGGCAAGCCAAATCACTACTAGCAAGGAAAACTAAGCAAGAAATCCATCCAAGAACACAAGGACGAGAAGGAGAAGGAGAAGAAGAAGAAGATCGGGGTTTTGAATCGGCCCACCTGTGATTCCGTGTAGTTGGCCGACTCCTTTTGCTCCACCGTGATTGGAAGCTTGTCACCCACAATCTGGAGCAAGATCACGGTCTGGGTTCCCGACTGATCCGCGTAGGCGCACGAGACGTTGAGCATCGGCGATGGCGGCAGCGAGCAAAACGACGTGTTGGCGCTCCACCCGCCCAGCGCCGATGGATCCCCCAGGAGCTTCTGGAGGCGCAGCAGGCTCTGGGTCTGGGATCCTGGCAATGCCGCTCGCCCAAGAACCGCCCAGAGGACGAGGAGCTCAATCACTGCCGCGACGAGCATTGTAGGCGCCCGCCGCGCTCGATGGCGGCGATCCAGGCTACGAGATCTCGGCGTCATCGCCGCCCCCATCGCGAGCCCAGGGATCGCGACTCCGCTGTGGAGGAGCCATGATTCCTCTTCTCAGCCCATCTCCATTTTTCCCCTGTTCTATCAATCCCGCATCCCCTGCTGCTCGATCGGATCCATTTCCTACCTGCGCCGCCCAATCGCGCTCGAGGGTTCATCGATCCGGCGGCGCTGCGATGTGGGTCGCGCCCGGATTGCGCGTCGCCCGCGACCCACTTGGAGGAATCGCTCACTCTCTTCTTGTCCTCCTCTCCCTGTCTATAAAGCGACGAGGAGAGGTGCCGAGCAACACTGGCTTGGAATCGATATGCCAACAAACAAACAATGCTGCTGCACGGGCGAGGCTTTGACAATGACACTGAGCAAGAAATCGAGGAGCAAAAAAGCTCCGCTCCCTCGACCGAAAAATGGGCAAATGGAGAGATTTTCCCCCTTTCCCCAGGGGTAACAAAAATCTTCTCTTCCGTGTGAGAAGAAGGATCCAGGCAAAAACCCGGCACGCACGTCGGTAAGTGGAATTATTTTACCGCGCGTTAACATCTCTTGTTCTTGTGGCTTGTCATACCGTACAAGGCCTTTTCGATTTGAAAGGATCCTTTGTTCCGTAGCGGCGTGATTTTTTTTTTTCTTTCTTTCGCTTAATCAGCTCGCCGGTGGCCAATCTTGACCTTTGGAATATTTGGTACAAAGTTTGGCAAGCTGTCTGTGAGCGTCGGTGACGAACATAGACAAAATTGTCAATACGGACGCCCTGTAAATCGGCCAAACTCTGCTGGCTATGAAACCAGAAGAAACTACCTTTCCTTCCTTCTGGTTTTTCTTCCTTTCCATCTTTTGTTGGCAAGCTCAAGTAGTTCGGCATTTAGATCTGGAGAGAAAACATCATAAGCTCCATAACTTTCACAATGGCGATGCTTGCTAATTGCAATCATAACATGTTACCCACAGTCGTTCGATGGAGACTCGAGAACTGAACGTCTCGCATCGCATCACAGCTTTTCATTATCATACCCCACATCGCTGTTCCACTCCTGTAAGAACAACGTACGGTTGATTATATTAGAGTCCAAGTAAAGGAGATAAAATAGGTAGAATGAAAGGAGATCACACTTACCGAGCCATCTCCATATCGTATGACCTTCTCCGGTGTGATTTGCAGAGTAGAATTTCTTCGGACATTCAGAAGACAACCGGCAAACATCACTGTAGCCTCCTCCATTGCCTCCAAACTGCGGGATAAAGAGAAAACGAAAACGTTTGAGAACGGCTCAAGCAAAGCTCAGCGCGTCAGGCCCAAAAGAAGGACAGGAAGGCATAAAACTATGTACAAATTGCGACTTCTTACCTCGCAGCCCGACGAAAGTGGCTTTGTTTACATAGGTAGACCACCACCACGAACGGGAATCTGCATCAAAGTACTGCCTCGCGATAGCAGCTTTACTTCTTTTTTTTTGGTGTGTGTTGTGATGCACCACTCACCAGCAAAGCCAGTCCACTCTCGAGCATCCAACTGACGTACTCATGACGAATCCGGTCCATCCCGAAGCTTTCATCTGTTCACTCGCTTTAAGTATCGGGTACACAAACAAACAGCTTACCTGTAAAGCACGACAATGCGAGTTTTAGAAGGACCTGCGAGGAAAAGCTAGAAAATTTACCTGGTACAGATGCAAGCCCGGTTCAGCAAAGATGTTGACGTCGGAGAAACTCTACGCTCCAACTGGAAGGGAAAAAGAATAAACTCGTTGCTTGTTTGATCCATTGTCGCCTCCTGCAAGCATGAGCTCGTGTGTCAGGACAGGCAATCTTTCTGGGAGTATAAAACAAACGTTGGGATCTTGGGGAAAATTTATGGCTAACGACAAACTCAAAGGTGGCTAAGATGCCTGGAGCGCTTGGACTGTAATCACAATGCATGGCATAAACAGACACTATGCAGCAGATATTCAAGTCTAGGAATCGTACCATCCAACGGCTCCCTTATCGCTGGTAGAATGTTTCTCGCTTTTCAAGTTAACCTGGAAGGAACAAGTGAATGTGGTCAAGGACCAAAGCGCTAGCCCAGTCGCCGGGGGAAGGAACGAACGCTTCGAGAGGCAAAACAAGTTTACATGGGAATAAGAAACGAAACTTAACTCTACGCAGGTAAAGAGTTTCAAATCTTCAGATGGTCTCCCGGGGAGAAAAAGTCGACAGTGCTTTCGGCCACTCTGAAGTGTCTCCGGACGTTCGCTTGCTCGGTCGAGAAAACATCTCGATACTCCACGGTAATCTGCAAAGCACACGCACTGGATCATGAAACTTCCCTACACGAAATGAAAAGAAAAGAAAGCGAGAGAGACCTGGCCATGAACGTCGGATGAATGCCCGGTGCTTAAAGGCTCCACGCGAACTGTGACGTTGGAACTATGCTCCAGCTCCAGCACGAATGCCAACGATTCATCCTCGGCATAGATGTCCTCGTGTAGCAACATCACGACGGAACATCCCTGAAAGAACGAGAGAGAAAAGAAGAAAGGTAATGCCTACAATTGCACGGAAAAAGAACCTTTTGCTTTCCACACGCTAGTGCTCGACAGTAATGTAGAAAATCTAGAACGCGATTTCTGGAACCTTGGACGATCACTTCCAGCAGAGCTACATCATCGATGAAAATGTATATCATGCCCGATGTATGTTTGACAGCTTCCTTGATCCGTTTGAACAGCAAGAAAAGAGGATTCTCGCCATCTTGCGCTGAAGGAATCAAAAGAGATAAAATGGACTGACAAAAAAAACTATAACTTACGAGCTGTGCAAGAGTACTTCCAAGTGCCAGGATCAGAGAATAGATCGATAAACGCTAACTGGCCCTTCTCCATACATGAAACGAGATTACATCCCTGTAACGAACCATTCGCAAAGAAATCTCTACATTTCCCAAGAAAACCTACTTGTTTCCTTGCAATCCTCGCGTAGTGAGGAAATGGAGCACCGAGCGCCACAAAAACCACTCTGGATCCATCGCTAGAAGCAGCCGCTCGGGCAACAAGAGCTTTCAGGAGCCAGTGGAGTACAAATCCACCAGACGCAGCGACACTGTCCTTGATCAGTACCCCACCGGCGCCCTGCTCGACAATCCCTTCGAGCACCATCGCGATAAACCCTAAACCTAGCACCATCCAACGCCCCTGTTTGAATTACTCCATCCGACGGCTGATAAGAGCCCGCGCAACAATCTTCGAAAAGTTTCTACACCAAAAGTCCAAGCTATCTTTCTTCCACGTGTGGTGTGGTGCTGTTTGGTAAATCGCCAAGAAATTTGATATGGTTTTGGGAATTGCGTGGACGTCTCGAATTGAGCATAAAACGCGAAGGCAGAGATCGATTTGGGCGAGAAATATATCAATCAAGTCTTGATATTGAAGAGTTAGTTTTTAAACGATGAAGAAGTATCTGTTTATGGTTTTGCTCCTGGCCACCCAGATCATTGCACAAAAGTTCCCGGCACTGATTATCTTTGGCGATTCAGTCGTGGATTATGGCAATAACAACAACTTCGCGATTCCTTTCACGATTGCAAGGGCAAACCATTCACCGTATGGAAGGCTCATCAACAATGGGGTTCCCACGGGCCGATATGCGGATGGCTACACACTCCCAGACTTCATAGGTAGAGTTCTCAAGTTTTAGATCTTGTTCTATGTTATAATCCTATGGATTTGTTTGTTCCCCAGCTTTGAGACAAGGTTATCAGCCTCCCTTGGCATATCTCGATCCAGCTTCGACATGTACAAATCTTCTTCGAGGCTCAAACTTGGCGTCCGGAGGTGCCGCAATAATCGACACAAACTCTTTGATTCTCGTGAGACAATTGACAATGAATTTCAGTTTATCTTCGTCTAATGGCTTTATTTCTTCTAGACACCGTACACCATGACTGTTCAGCTTGGTTGGCTACAAACATACATCCAAACCCTCAAAAACTGTGTGGGAAACACCCAGGCCAACTCCATCATCTCCAACGCACTCTACATCTTTAGCGTCGGATCCAACGATTTCTCCTACAAAAGCTTCAACCCGGCAGTCTCTGGCCTAAGCGACGCCCAGTACCGGCAGCTGCTCATAGACACGTACAGGAGCGAACTCCAGGTACATGAGTCTACAGTCCCCTGTGAACTCCGGGAGCATTGTCTAATTCCGCATGAACTTATCAGACTGCCTACAACCTTGGTGCTCGAAACTTCTTTGTGTTCTCTCTTGGTCCACTCGGCTGCACTCCAATCACCCTCACTCTCCAGTGCGGACCATATCCTTCAGCTTGCAGAAACAATTGCAACGAGACCACAAATCAGCTGGTTTACGCTTTCGATCTAGCGCTCCAGGCAATGCTCCAGAATCTCCAGAGCACTCTGGCCGGCTCCACCTTCTACTACAGTCTTGCTGCTTATAACGTTACCTATGATGCTGTGAAAAACCCAGGAAAATATGGTGGGCATTTGTCTGATGTTTCTGGTTGATTACTAAATCTTGCTTGTTGTGTGTAGGTTTGAGCGTGGTTGACAGAGGTTGCTGCGGCTTAGGCTACACAGAGATTGGCGATGGATGCAACGTGTACTCTTTTGGGACGTGCTCGAATGCGTCACCTTATATTTTCTTTGACGCCATTCATCCGACGTCCAGCTTCACACAGAAGCTGGCACCAGGAACATACACACTCCTAGGAATCTGACTAGTGGACATGTAGTTTTGTCTTGTACTTTAAAAATAAGTATACTAGAATATTCTAGCATACATTGAAGAAATAATTAAATATAGTTAATTAAATACAACTTCATAAAATTCTCTTCGGTAGAAAGTTCGTTTCTGAAATAATGTTTGGTAACTTTGACTTCTTCGATATAAGTTGTACCATATACCTCTTGCTATACGAAGGAAACAAGCAGCTATACATTTAGCGACCAAAGCCACTCTTTCCGCACGCGGCACCCCCTTTCCTTCAAATATGGAGACCCCAAAATCAACGCTTATCTTCCACCAATTTCTGTTTGGTAATCACCAAGTGATTATAGGCCCTATTAAACACCACAAAACTCATCACAACTAGCTGCAGCTGAATCCTCAATCTAGCACTAGCAGAGAATGAAGAAAGTTTTGAGCTATTTCGTTGCGCTTCTAGTGCTGTTTGCCGTGATCCAAACCTCCGCGCAAAAGTTCCCCGCCATTATAATCCTTGGTGATTCCATCGTCGACTACGGCAACAATAACAATTTCACAATCCCCTTCACCATCGCAAGAGCAAACCACTCGCCATATGGGAGGCTCATCAACAATGGAGTTCCAACCGGCCGGTATGCTGATGGATACACACTTCCAGACTTTATAGGTATATCTCCACAATATAATCTCGGTAGTATCAATAACAAACGTTTACTTAGCCTTGAGACAGGGTTATCAGCCTCCCCTGGCTTACCTTGATCCAGCTTCAACATGTACAAATCTTGTTCGCGGTGCCAACTTAGCATCTGGAGGTGCCGGGATCATTGATTCAAATTCTTTGATTCTTGTAAGCACATATTTCTTAGGCTTTCCTGCTTGTTTCATATAATTTTAACTTGTGTATCTTCCTTGATCACAGACACCGTACACCATGTCTGTTCAGCTGGGCTGGCTCCAAACTTACATCCGGAACCTCCGAAATTGTGTGGGAGGCACCCAGGCCAATTCGACCATCTCCAGGGCCCTCTTCATCTTTAGCGTTGGATCCAATGATTTCTCTTACAAGAATCTCAACCCGGCTGTCGCTGGCCTTAGCGATGCGCAGTACCGGCAGCTGCTCGTAAACACGTACAGGAACTTGCTCCAGGTATATGTCTATGCGTACGGACGCGTGAACATTTTGTCTAATTTCGTACCCATTTTTCTAGGCTGCCTACCAGCTTGGTGCTCGAAACTTCTTCGTGTTTGCACTTGGGCCACTCGGCTGCACTCCAATCTCCATCACTCTCCAGTGTGGAGCATTTCCAAATCCATTTTGCAGAAGGAACTGTAACGAGGCCACGAATCAAGTGGTGTACGCTTTCAATCTCGCGCTCCAGGCAATGATTCAGAATCTCCAAAGCACACTGGCCGGTTCAAAGTTCTACTTCACCGTTGATGCTTATAACGTTACCTATGATGCCGTGAAGAACCCTGCAAAATACGGTAAGTTGTTTCTAAAGGCAAAGTATCACACGACATTATCAACATCTTTGGTGGTTTCAAGGTTTGGGGGTAGTTGATAGAGGTTGCTGTGGATTTGGCTACACGGAGATTGGCGATGGATGCAATAGATTCTCGTTCGGGACATGCTCCAATGCGTCGCCTTTCATTTTCTTCGATGCCATTCATCCAACGTCCAGCTTCACACAGAAGCTCTCACCAGGAACTTACACACTCCTGGGAATCTAAGTAGTGGAATATTTTAGCATATTGTATATTCATTAAATAAATATAGAAATAATTAAATAAATAAAACTTAGCAAATTCTGCTAAAAGGATGTTTAAATTTGTGACCATATACCTCTTGTGACACGAAGGAAACAAGCAGTTTTACACATTAAAATAAAAGAGACTTTTTAGCTGCTTTCATGATTTCCGCACGCGGCATCAAATATGGAGACCCCAAAGTCAAGGCTTACCCACCAATTTCTGTTTGGTAATCACCAATGATTACAGATCCTATTAATCACCAGAAAACTCATCACAACTTATCTAGCACTAGCAGAGAATGAAGAAAGTTTTGAGCTATTTCGTTGTGCTTCTAGTGCTGTTTGCCGTGATCCAAACCTCCGCACAAAAGTTCCCCGCCATTATAATCCTTGGTGATTCCATTGTCGACTACGGCAACAATAACAATTTCACAATCCCCTTCACCATCGCAAGAGCAAATCACTTGCCATTTGGGAGGCTCATCAACAATGGAATTCCAACTGGCCGGTATGCTGATGGATACACACTTCCAGACTTTATAGGTATATTCTCCGCAATATAATCTCGGTAGTACAGACGTTTGTTTAGCCTCGAGACAGGGTTATCAGCCCCCCCTGGCTTACCTTGATCCAGCATCAACATGTACAAATCTTGCTCGCGGCACCAACTTAGCATCTGGAGGTGCCGGGATCATTGATTCAAATTCTTTGATTCTTGTAAGCACATATTTCTTAGGCTTTCCTGCTTGTTTCATGTAATTTTAACTTGTGCATCTTCCTTGATCACAGACACCGTACACCATGTCTGTTCAGCTGGGCTGGCTCCAAACTTACATCCGGAACCTCCGAAATTGTGTGGGAGGCACCCAGGCCAATTCGACCATCTCCAGGGCCCTCTTCATCTTTAGCGTTGGATCCAACGATTTCTCTGACGAGATGGAAGCCGCTGGCCTTAGCGATGCGCAGTACCGGCAGCTGCTCGTAAACACGTACAGGAAGCTGCTCCAGGTATATGGATGCGTGAACATTTTGTCTAATTCCGTACCCATTTTTCTAGGCTGCCTACCAGCTTGGCGCTCGAAACTTCTTCGTGTTTGCAATTGGGCCTCTCGGCTGCACTCCAATCGCCATCACTCTCCGGTGTGGAGCATCTCCAAATCCACCTTGCAGAAAGAAATGTAACGAGGCCACGAATCAACTGGTGTACGCTTTCAATCTCGCGCTCCAGGCAATGATCCAGAATCTCCAAAGCACACTGGCCGGTTCAAAGTTCTACCTCACCCTTGATGCTTACACCCTTACCTATGATGCCGTGAAAAACCCTAAAAAATACGGTAAGTTGTTTCTAAAGGCAAAGTATCACATAACATCTTTGGTGATTTCAAGGTTTGAAGGTAGTTGACAGAGGCTGCTGTGGATCTGGCTACACGGAGATTGGCGATGGATGCAATAAATTCTCGTCTGGGACGTGCTCCAATGCGTCGCCTTTCATTTTCTTCGATGCCATTCATCCAACGTCCAGCTTCCTGCAAAAGTTCTTGCCAGGAACTTACACGCTGTTGGGAATCTAGTAACTTCATTTGTATGAAATACAAAACAGAAGAGGAAAGAAGTAAACTCAAAAAAACTCATTCATGTCACAAAGAATGGAAATGAGATTACCAAAAGTTTAGCTATATGGTTATTTGTTTCAAAAAAGCAAAAGACTTTGTAGACAAGATCATACCACGATTGGTGATCTAAGAGCCTCCTCGCCAGGACCCGGGTGAGAATCGACCTTTCGTTTCAGCTTGTCCAGTGTCGCAGCCACGCTCTTGGCCTCTTGACGGAGTCGTTCTAGAGTCTTCAGCAGTTCTTCCGATTTCTAGACATTACAAACTAGGACTGTGAGCTTGAAACCAAACAACAAACAAAAGGATAACGAAAGAAGAAGATCGATAGGTACCTGTCTTTGTTCCTTGAGGACACTCTTCCTGGAGCCGCAGCAAAAGAGACTCTCGGTGTACTCGGTTCGCGTCGCACTGGACTCGTCTCCGACCTGAGAGAGCGGTCAGAACAATCGAGTTTTCGAAGACTGCTCCATGCTCGACTCTTTTACGTCTGACGATTGATGCAGTAAAGGAGAATCATACTTAGCAGGCACGTCAAACTCACCAAGTTGCCTCGCAGGTTGTGGTGTCCCCTCGAGCTCCACATTCCTGCCTGAGTTGCCGCTGGCGGTGGAGTTGCCTCGGAGGATGCTGCCATGGAGCTTCGAATTTCGGTGTGGGACGAGGTCTCCGTTGTTGCTTCTGCTGCCTTGGTGTGGCGCCTCAAATCCGACGCTGCTGCTGCTGTTTCCAGACTTTCTTCTACGATCTCGTCCTCTTCCTTGAAGAGCTTTCTTGCGGGAAGTGTTTCAGCAAGTGATGAAACACGCTTGGAAAAGAATCTGTTGGTAATGTCAGAACACTGGCCGTGGTTGTCCCTGAAGTAACCGAATTGGCCATCTGTGAATGGAGCGGCCGCTCCTTCCCGTGGCCTAGAACTTTCAGGAGTGTCCACCTCCTCTGCTAGAGGCTTCTTGGCCCTGTAGCTGCTAAAACTAAATTCTTCTCTCGAGTCTTTCCTGAGCCTGCTTAGAAGTCCATCCAAACTTTCAGAAACCTGCGACCTCTCTCGCTCGAACGGCCTCCGGCCCCTCAAGATGCTCATCAAGTCCGACTCTGGAGTAACGTGAAACTTCCTCCCAGTTTGCAAACCCGGTTGAAACACATCGCTCTCCCGCGTTTGTCGATCCTCCGAAAACATACTTTTCCTGTCCACTCTTTTGTTCTGGTACTTCTCCCTTGCCGATTCTAAGTCTGCGTTCCACCTGGATCGCCTCGTTCGTATATCCTGCGTTAGCGACGTAACTCTCGCTCTCGCCTTCTCCCGAAACATCTGAAGCCTTTCCTGTTCTGTTTTCAGGAAATTGGTCTGTGACTTGCTAGCATCCTCCGTCTTACGTCTTAAGGACTCCTGTGAGTAGCACCTGGAACAGTAAGACTTGGAACGTTCAATGTCGAATGATCTACGCAGACTTCTGTCCGAAAGACAGGCATATGCCTGCGAAAGAAAAGTAAGTTCCCGTTTGGTTTTTCTCTCCTCACTACTTACCTCCGAGACAAGCTTGAACGCTTCCTCCGATTTTACATTTTTGTTCTTGTCCGGATGCAATAAAAGAGCTAGAAAACGCTAAAGTCAATTTGCTTATTTGCCTAAAAAGCGAAGGAACATACCAAGCTGACGATATCTCTTCTTGATCGCGATGGAATCGGCCTCCTCATCCACCTACAACAAAAGATTTGTCAAAAAAATGGGACTGGAGCGTCGATTTCTACCTTGAGCACGCGGTACCAATCTGGATTTCTCGGTCTCGGAACCTGCATTCTACACGAACACCTCCAATTCGCTGCCTGGCACACTTGCGCAATCGCGGCGAGCTCAGAGATCCCACCCATGGTCGGCCGGAGCCTCTCGACTCGTCCTAGCAGCGACAGCGCCCGGTCATAGCTCCCATCCCTCAAGCAGTGGCGAGCTTGCTCGAGAAAGCTGCTCGCGTAGTCGTCCTCGATCTTCCCAGCCATCGCTAAATCTACGCCTCAGCGCTCATTCTCGGAAATATTTCGATACTAGAGTCGAAAACCTACACCATCGACGCTGCGAAGATTTTCATGGAGCCCATCCCTTTCCCTTCGCCGGTGCTGTGAATGAGCTACCTGAATCACGAATCCTGGACGACGCGATTGAGCGTCTTCCAATCCTTGTCGCCGTGGATCGACCTAGGAAGAAGTGTTCGTCCTATCGAGCTCTCTTCCGTCCGATAGCCTGGATCGGACAGCCTTTATCTGGACGAGTGGATTGTCAAGCTAGCCGTTGGATCTGTCACATCGAAGGGTGGAGCTTCTACTGGTTACCGTTATAGCCTTATGCAAACCGTGTAAACGGAAAAGGCGGAAGTAGACTTAACTGTAACTAGCGGAATATTCTCCTCCATTGGGGTGTAGAGGGGGTTTAGGGTTCTTCGTCTGGGCGGGAGCGTCCAATGTAAGTCTCTGGAAAATTTCGCGTAGTTGATCGATGTGCGGCGCGCTTGCTAGGGAGGATCTCGATCCCGACACATTTAGGATCCTGATCGCGACGGATTGTCATCTGGGGTATTTGGAGAAGGATGAGATTCGGCGCCAGGATTCTTTCAGGACATTCGATGAAATATGCCGGATTGCTTTCGAGCGCCAGGTGAGATATGTGACTTTGTGCAGCAAGTTGAATTGATTTGGAGTGGAGGCCAGGTCGATTTTATGCTCCTGGGAGGGGATTTGTTCCATGAAAATCGTCCGTCGTCTACCACGCTGGTGAAGACGATCGATATTCTTCGTCGCTATTGCCTCAACGATCTGCCGGTCCAATTCCAAGTCGTGAGCGATCAGACCATCAACTTCCCAAACAAGTATTTGTCTTTCTTTTCTTTTTCTCAACAGACTTACAATTGTCTTTTACTCAGGTTTGGCCATGTTAACTACGAAGATGCGCACTACAATGTTGGCCTTCCGGTGTTCACCATCCATGGGAATCACGACGATCCTGCTGGAGTGGTAAGAGTTTCCGATGCATAAGCTCGTGGTTTTCACGAAGTACGTTTTGTACAGGACAACATATCAGCGATTGACATCCTGGCGTCTTCAAATCTAGTGAACTACTTTGGGAAGGTCGACCTTGGTGGCTCCGGTGTTGGAAAAATTGCACTACATCCCATTCTTCTTCGAAAGGTAACTTTTTTCAGACCGTCTCTCATTTAACTATTATCTCTTCCCTATTTCTCTTATGCAGGGCTCAACAAAGATAGCTTTGTATGGTCTGGGTAATATCCGTGATGAACGTTTGAATCGGATTTTTCAGGTCTAGAAGTGAAGTCTTAATTTTAGTGCTAAAGTATCTTCTTTTGGTTTTCAGACCCCAGAAGGTGTTCAATGGAAGCGACCGGCAGATCATGCGGACTGCCCGTCATCTGAGTGGTTCAATATGTTTGTGCTGCATCAAAACAGGTATCAAAATTCTGGCGTGGTTTAATAATTCCGGTATATTTTAGAGTAAAGACAAATCCGAAGAACGCCATCAATGAGCATTTCCTTGCTCGTTTTCTGGATTTTGTTGTCTGGGGTCACGAGCACGAGTGCATAGTGGACCCACAGGTTGATCACCCTGATTTGTTGTTGCGGATCGTCACTTATGTTCTACTCTGCAGGAAGTTCCCGGGATGGGATTCCACGTCACGCAGCCAGGTTCTTCTGTTGCAACCGCATTGACGGATGGTGAAGCTCAGCCTAAGCATGTCCTCCAATTGGAAATCAAGGTTTTGAAGATTTACTTATCTGTATTTCGAATTCTAATATCTCTGCAGGGAAATAAATATCGACCAACAAAGGTTCCACTCAAAACCGTCAGGCCTTTTGAATTTACTGATGTAAGTGAACGTGCTTCAATCGTCATATTTTTTAAGTTGGTTGCCTGCAGGTGGTCTTGAAGGATATAGAAGGCATTGATCCAAGCGACCAAACTTCTGTTCTTTCTCATCTGGGAGAAGTGGCAAGTGTTTCAATTTTTGCTGCCTTGGACGCTTACGAAAGTGCCTTTTACAGGTGCAAGATCTTATTACTACTGCTGTTGCCAAGTCTCAGTCTCAAGAGAGCATGCTCCCTCTCATCCGTGTCAGGGTAAAGGATTATTTTTGAAAGTACACCGAAAGACTAGTTTGTGATATTTTTGCAGGTGGATTACACAGATTGCACTACTATAAATCCTCAAAAATTTGGACAAAAGTTTGTCGGCAAGGTTTGCAGTCCTACAGCTCTTTTTCACTAAGATAAAACGCACCGAATTGCAGGTTGCTAATCCGCATGACATTTTGATATTTACCAAGTCTTCAAAGAAAAAACAGCGACTTGACGGTAATATCTCTATTGTTATTCCCTCGTCGGGGAATGAAAGCTTTCCTTGACCAGCTTCTGGAAGCGAAAAAGAACTTCTTGCACCTGAGGAGCTAAACCAGCAAAATATTGAGGCTCTGGTAGCAGAGAGTAATCTGGTTGGTCGCCGTAGCACAGAGATCAGATTTGCCTACTAACAATCGCGTCGATTGCAGAAAATGGAGATTCTACCGGTGTCAGTCCTTGGTTTGGCATTGCACGACTTTGTGAACAAAGATGACAAGCAGGCGTTCCAGTCGTGTGTGGAGCACACGCTTCAAGAAACGCAGGTAAACTTTCACCAAATCATACTGGACAAAGCTGTGACACCATTTCATCGTAATCTAGAAAAAGCTTCTCGAGGACGAAGAGGTGGAACTAATGGATGAAAGCGAGATTGTGGAGAAGGTCACCGAACACATGCAGGTAGTTAAAACCTCAAAGCTTGACTCTCTGTAATGCCTATTTTGTGATAGGACCCACGCAATCAAGCACCTAGTGTGTCACTAGCGGATGCAGTTCGGCCGTGGTCGCAAGTCACACAATCGAAAGGCTCGACTTCTGGCCAGAGACGAACAGTTGATATCGACGATGATGACGATTTTGGTATCTCGGGAACTACAGTGGTAACGAAAGCGAGCAAAGCTAAAGCTACAAAAGCCACCGCTACGAGAAAGTCAAGAGCTTCTGCCGCTGCTGTTGGTGATGATGACGACGATGAGGATGACGCGCCAACCGGCCGCGGACGAGGTCGTGGTCGAGGAAGGGGCCGAGGCAGAGGAAAACAAAACATGAAACAAACGACGCTAGACACCGCGATTGGAGCACGTCCCAGACGGTATACATTTATTCTTCCATCAAAGTTTCTACGACGGTTTTCCATACAGGTCTAGTAGTCGTGCTGCTGCAACCGCAGCAACAGCAGCAGACAGTGATGAAGAAGACGTCGCTGCATCATCAGCGAATGACGACCCCGAAGACCCAGAGAGTGACGCGGTAAGTAGCAATTTCTTCTCGTTCTTCTCTCCTCACAAGTGTGGTTTGATAGGAGCCGACTCCGACCAAAGGAAGAAAGCGGGCCGCATCAACGTCGAGAGGGCGAGGCAGAGGCCAAAGCACTCCAAAGCGAGGAAGAACACAATCGTCCAAGTCGAGGTCCGTGGACGACGAGGACAACGACGAAGTGGAGAACGAGCACGACAGCGATGGCGATGTTCAACTGACAACATCCACGAGAGGTTCTCAGGTTGGAATTCTTTCCTCTTCTTCCTGGACTGTGCAGATAACTTGGTTTTCCACAGGCTCGAAAATGGGGACCAGCAAGAAAGTGACTCTGAATCTCGCATTCCCAGCTTGTATCAAGGCAAGTCCTCATAATCTGTCTCCGATGCACTTGGAGTCCTTTCTGTCTCGTAATCGTCCTCGTCTATATCTTCTTCTTCGCCTTCATCCTCCTCGTCGTTGTCAGCGTCCGAGAAAGAGAGATCATCTTCGTACTCGCTCTCGTCGTCCTCATCATCCGTGTCCTGCGCGTCCACAACGATGCTGACCTTGTTATACCGCGACTGGAGCTTGAGCAAGCTCGTGCAAAACGTTCCGCTGGGGCGCTCCAGCAAGCTGAGCCGCAACGTCGACAAGGTATCGCACTCGAGAATACTTGACAGCAAGCTGATCGCGTTCTTGTTTCCACTGTCAGCGACTAAAGTAACGTCCTCGAGCGGTGGCCGCGAATGGAGCAACGGTTCGGACAAGCTACCGACTTGCAAGGCCTGGCAAATCACATCAGAGAGCTGTAACTTCCGAGCAAGACTAAAGCATCGACAGACCTCAAACATATCCAGCCCGATCTTGAGAGTTCGCAGCGCCGTGAAGCCTTCGAACATATCCGGGAACGAGAACGGCTGCTTCCGGTGGTGGTGGCCGAGCTTCAACCTCATGGAGATCTCGCGAGCCTGCTTCGCCATGTCCAGGAACTGGTAGATCCCGTTCGACGGCCAGCCTTTGCTCGCGAGCTCCAACACCTTCAAAGATGGCGGCCGCTTAAACACGGGCTTGAAGTAGCAGAGCGCCCGGAGCTCCACCAGCGTGGCTCCGTCGAGATGGACTTCCTTGACGCAGTCGACCGCGAGGCTGGCGAGCCTGGGGCACGCGAGCTTGAGGCAGCGCAGCGGCGTCTCGTCCACGTAGAAGCAGTTCTCCTTCTTGGGCTTCCACACGAGCTTGAAGTGAAGCAGGGTGGCGGCGGCGAGACTGGGAGCTTCCAGGCCGAAGAGATGGAGGGCCTCAAGGTCTTCCAGCACCGGGCACAGGCTCACGAACTTCTCCAGCTTGGAGTCGTTCATGAGCATGTCCTGGAAGACGCACCTTCGCAAGCTCGGGAAGATGATGGCGCCACCATTCTCATCCTCGATCTCAAACTTGGAGCACTGGCAGCCGCAAACTCCACCCATCTCGTCCACGAACTCGAGGCTGCGGAGCTTGTGGCAGTTCGCGAGCGCGCGGACGAGCGCGCCGCTAAAGTCGAATCGGCCCCGGAAATGGAACACCTCGAGGGAGTGGCGGAGATTGGTGGCCCAGGTGTACAGGAACTGCTCGCCGCTGGAGCTGCGGCACACGAGGCGATCGATGAGGAGCTCCCGGAGGCCCGAGCAGCGCTCCAGCATCCGCGAGTAAATCTGGAGCATCTCGCCCGTGGATCGCCGCCGCCCCCCGGTGCCATCGCCGCGGTGGTGATCGCTGCCGCTACAGCTGCTGCTGCCGCTGATCTCGCTGCTCGATTCGCTATTCAGGCTCGAGCCGCAAGTACCTCGGTGGTCGAAATCGCCGAAGAAGTCGAGGCGGAGGACGTGGACGCCCGTGGAGGAGTAGCGCCACCGCCGGCACACGGTCGCCGCCTGGGCAATGCGCCGCGCCTCGACGAGCTTGGAGAGAATGGAGGAGACGATGCTGTCCGGGATCACGTCGATGCTGCCGCTGCTGCCGCTGGAGCTGCCGCCGAATTCCTCCTCGCCCTCCGCCATAGCTGCGAGCTCCCCCAGCACTAGGGTTTCTCCTTATAGCCGAATGACCTGGCGCCAAGAGCGCTTGACGTGGAGTAAACGTGAACGCCACGTAGGAAGATTAACAGCCAATTAGCGCGTGACGTGTGCGAAACGGAGCGACGCGTGGACATAAAGTAAGTATGACGTGGCATGCAAATGTAGCTATGACGTGGCATGGAAATGTATGCTAGGGCAAAATGGGGGCGCGCTTTGCGATCCGTGGCGTGATCTACGAATGTCGAGCGTTCCTCCAGCTGGCATCGTCCGGTAAATCGATCGTGGCCGGTGGCGGCGGCAAAGATTGCAGCTCGTCCGCATCTGTGAGCGCGAGATCGAGCATTTCGGAAGTGGAGGGGACCGTGGCAGCAGCCGATGTGATCGCTGGGCTCGGGATTGGGGGAATGCTGCCGGGAGTGGAGCAGCGGGTAGTATCGGATTCGCAGCCGCGGAAGGAGACATTGGAGGAGAAGGAGATTTTGGAGGGCTTGATCGGGTCCAGGCAGAGCATTAGATCAAAGTATGCCGAGAAGCTAATGGCGAGGAGAATGGCCGCGGAATCGAGAAGGGAGCAGCAGGGACGATTTGGTGTGGAAGCTGGCGATGAGAATTTTGCCATGCCATCGATATCTTCGGACAACAAGTTTGAAGCTGTGCGAGGGTCGATGCAATTACTGGGATACTTGCAGGTGAGAAATCAGGAATGAAGAGTTTGATCTTCGATTTCTCGGCAAGAATTTTTTTTTCTCTTTTCTTCGCCTCGAGTAAGAGCTCTTTTCCTTGCGGGTTTATCGCACTGGGTGACTCAATTTTCTCTTGGTCGTAGGAACGAGGAGTGCTCCAGGCTCTCGTGGCTCCAAGCAATGGAAACCAGGAGCGAGCATACCTTGATCAGCTGCTTCACAAGTTTAGCTTCGACTGCGTCAAGAACACCGAAGATGGATTGAGGTTGGACTAGATTTTTTGGTTTGATGATAGAAAACGATGACAAAACTTTGTTGCAGTGAGGATGTGGTGAGCTCTCTCTGCTCAACGTGGTGTCTTCCTGCGAATCAAGTCATGGTGGTAAGCATTCTCATCTCATTTCGCTGCTAGAGCTTACAAAATCCAATTTTTCATAGGTGGTCTCGGCAGATTTAATCCCAGACCTCGTGAATCCTGCCGGAATCTTCAAGTGCCGCGTGACCGACGCCAAAAATGCTGCTGCTGTCGAGGGAAATCTTGAGGAACTCGCTGCGGGCAGCCAAGTAAAACCAAGACAAACCGGGATGTTTCAATGGTTCCGGAAGAAACTCACAGATTTCCAGCAGATATCTCCGGAGCCAGTTCTTCGCCCAGGAAACCATTTCAATGCGCATTACAACGTGAAGGACATGACAGAGCTCAAGTGGCTGTTCGAAGAGCTCAATGGAATCTCTTACAGGCCCATTCTCTCTGGGGTTAAATGAGGTACTTTAAAGTGTGGCTTTGGCGGGAAATGAAATTTAGGGTTCTTGGCGATAGGGGTTTTATGGCGCACGCGAATTCTATTCCAGGTATGATCCTGGCCTTGGATCGCAGCGGACGATCTTTCCCTGGAATCTGGAGCCGCAGAGAGCTCGCATTTTCGATGCTCGCGCTTCCTATTGTAGCGCCGCCTCCAGCTGCAGCTCGGGCAGAGCAGGAGGCTAGTGTCAAGAAGGAGGAGAGCTTGCTGGATGGGATTCTGTCGGTGTTTGATCCAAACGAGACGACGAAGTCCGGGAAGAAGCTGCCAAAGAGCTACCTCAAGGCGGCCCGGGATGTAGTGAAGAATTTGCGCGAGGCTTTGCAGAAGGATCCAGCCAAGGAGGAGCAGAAGTTCCGTGAGGCTGCAAACACTGCCAAGGATTCCATTCGGGAGTACCTCACGAAATGGAAAAATTCCAAAGAGGTCCAAGAACAAGTAAGCCTGGTTCATAGCTTTTCTCGTTCCCATTGTTTATGTGCAGAGCTCGTATCAAGTTTTGGAAAAAGCTTTGCGGCAGCTTGGGAGTTTCTACTTGAAATCTGGACCAACAGCGGTTATGCCAGACGATATCAAGTCAGAGATTTTGCAAAACCTTAGCAATGCCGAGGCAGATTTGTAACGAAGCTTTTTTATCCATCAACGTTGTCATCGCCTGGCCAGTATGTTTTTTCCTATTGTTTTTGCGGTGCTCGACACTGCCTTGGATGACTTGACAAGTTTGGTGAGCTCGCAGGAAAGCGAGTGAACGTTGGATAGCATTATGTAAGACGAGGAGAGTTTGGAATCCAGCTCCACAAGCTTCTCAGCAGCACGCTTTGCTCGCCTCTCATCGTCGTGAGTTTTGCAAGCTCCAAGAAAAGCTGTCCAGGCAATGATCTTCTCGTCGCGAGAGAGAGGTATACTCTCCATCGCATTCTCCGCTAACTCCAACTTCCCAATCCTTCCTAGCAGATCTATCCAGCAGACTTGATGTTCAGGCAGAAGAGCTAATCCCCGGTCCTGTTCAATAGAGGAGAAGTAACTCAAGCCTTCGGTGATCAAGCCCGAGTGACTACACGCACAAAGGACACTCACGAGAGAAATCTCATTGGCCTCGACGCCGTGAAGCTCCATTGATCGAAATAGCTCCACAGCTTCCAGACCGTGCCCGTTTTGAGCAAAGGCCGTCACCATGGAAGTCCAAGGCAATGTCATTTCTGCTCCGAGTTGTTCCTCCAGCGCATTAAAGACCAACTTGGCGTCCACCACGCTGCCGCACTTTCCATACATGTCGATCAACCCGGTAGCCACTTCGGTGAGAGGAACGCTACCATCCTCGAGAGCACGGTGGATAGCTCGTCCTTGGGAGAGATCCGAGATGTTGGCACAGGCATCAAGAACAGTGGTCAAGATCACCACGTCCGGACTGGTTCCTTCGACGTCCATCTTCTTAAACAGGCCGAGAGCTTCTCTCTCGTCGTTGTTCTCGACGTAGGCGACGATCATCGCAGTCCAGCTGACGACATTCTTATCCAGCAGCTTGTCAAAGGCGGACCGGGCATCTCTAAGGCTCTTGCATCTCCTGTACATGCAAGTAAGCGCAGTGGCAGTGATGGTGTGGGATTCGAGCCCAGCGGCGATGATCCTCTCGTGCAAGGCGTTTCCCTGGCGAAGATCATCGCAGGCATTAAGAATGGTGACGAAAGTTATACTGCGGTGCTTGTAGCCGTCGAGGTCCAAGCCCCGGAAGATCGTCAGAGCCGCAGGAAAGTCACTCGCCTCGGCGTAAGCTCCGATCATCGCAGTCGCCACGACTTCGTTCCTCACGGGGAGGCGATCAAACACCGACTTCGCCTCGTTGCAGCACCCGGAGCTCCCATACATGCTGACGAGCGCGCCTCCGATATGAACATCGTCATCGACTTCAAGTGCAGCGGCTTCCGAGTGAAGGATCCGGCCGTCTCCAATCGCGGAGGAGCTTGCGCAGGCATCCAGAGCGCTGGTGAAAGTCAAGAGGTTTGGACAGAAGCCGTGGAGATCCATGAGCTTGAAGACGAGCAGCGCAAGATTGGAGTGGCCGTTTTGAGCGTACGCCGCCACCATAGCCGACCACGATACGACAGTCTTGTCGGGTGTCTGCTCAAACACCGACAGCGCGCGCTCAAGGCATCCGTTTTGTCCGTAAGCCACTGCCAGCGATGTCCACGACACGGAGTTCTTGACGGACATGGAGTCGAAGCTCCGCTGTGCGTCGTCGGGGCTGCGGCATCTTCCATACATTCCGACAATCGCAGTTCCAACGAAGACGTCGTGCTGGAATTCACCCGACAAGAGAATCTCCTCGTGGATCATCCTCGCCAGCTTCAAGTTCCCGAGGTTCCCGGAAGCGTCGATGACCCCCAGGAAAGTTATCCTGTCCGGCTCCACGCCTTCGAGGGTCATGGCGAGAAAGAGGTGGAATCCCTCTCGGCTATGCCCGTTCTTGGCATACCCGACGATCATCGAGTTCCAGGACGCGGTTTCTCGATCCGGCATTGCATCGAAGAGCTCCCTGGCGGCGGGAGCGCGATCGTTTTGGCCGAGAGCAGTGATCATCGCGTTCCAGCAGGGGATGCTTCGCTGGGGGATGAGCGCGAACGCTCTCCAGGATTCCGGGAGGTGACCATTCTGGGCATACGCAGAGACGAGGCTGATCCACGAGTAGATGTTCCTTCTCTCCAAATTCTCGAAGACCCTTTGCGAGTTCCCGGGATCTCTACACCGCCCGTATGTGCTGATGAGGAGATTTCCCAGGATTTGTAGGCGATCGAAGCCGGTTTGGATCATGTGAGCGTGGAGACGCCGCGCATCGTCGAGGGATTGCTTGTGAGCGTAGCTCTTGAGCAAAGCAGTGTAGATTTCCTGGCATTTTTGGGGCTGTGACGGATCTATCCCCTTCAGCGCCCCTTCGAGACTCGCGAGTTGAGGCCCAGAGACAAACGATCGTCGATGAAAGCGAAATCCGAGAGACTTGGACATCCGCCATCAAGGGCGCGAGGAGGACGAAGATACACTTGGCATGGAATCGCAGCCGTTAGATAGATCGGACGGCCTGCAAGAAAGCCCTTATCTTTCTCTCTTGTTAGGGTTTATCCGCTATGTAATTCACGGGCGAGGGACACAGAGGGAAGCGTGGGAGAGGAGCGCCGGCGGTGCGCGGCGCGAGCTGCGAGGATGTTGTCATCGCTGCAAGCGCTGAATGCGGCTGGAGCGGCTCCCTGTGAGTGCTTGGTTTCTTATGGTTCCTGTGATTGAATTCGTGGAATTTTTTCTTCTTTCTTCTCTCCAGCTAGTCGCTCCGCTGCATTCCAGCCAAAGGTGAAGCCGCGAGCTCGAAAAGCCGCTGCGGCGGATGAAAATATCGCGCCTACACAGGAATCATCGCCTGTTCCACCTCCATCGCCGACTCCCGCGGCGCCAGTAGCTCCGATAGCTCCTCCGGCTCCAGTAGCAGCGGCAACATCTGGGGCTCCAGCCCCCAGTAATCCGCCAGCCGCCTTGAGAGAAACTCGAGGGGTATCATCGTCGAGCGCGCAATCTACATTGCCTCAATCGGCCCGATTGGTAAGAGTATTTCTCTTTTCTTTGTTTCTTTCTTGACGGTTGCTTTTCATGGAAGGATCCTTCCGGGCCTTCAACCTCTGCCGGGCCATCGGCTTCTAGCCAGAGGCAGCGGCCGGCTTCTGTGGTGCCACCCTCCACCAGCGAGACGGGTGAGAGCTCCAAGGGAAAAAGGAAGAGGGCGTCAGGGAGCCCATCTCCACGCCAAAAGCGAGGTAGATGTACGTCTTTCTTTTGTATCCCAGTTCAGGGTCTCACATACACATTTTATCCACAGCTGATATCAATGTTGACGAGGCCATCGATCCTGCGACGATGACTATGAAAGATATTATCAAGCTTGCGGAAGCAAAGGAGAGGAAGGTTAGTCTGTTTTTTTCTCAAAGAAGACCTGCTTTCTTTTGCTGAAGAACTTCTGCATTAACAGAAGCAAAAGGAGGAGGCCGCTAAGAAGCTGGAACAGCGAGCCTCTGCTGGCGCAACCGAGCAGCGGGATAGAGAGAAGGAGCAAGCGTATGTGCTTAGTTTCTTTCGTTTTGCGCTTTCTTTTCTTGACTTGTTTCTACAGGGTTCCTCTGGCACCGCAAGTCGAGGTCGTGGATGGAAAGATCGTTATTAATCAGCAGAGCCTGGAAGTAGACGCGAGGGCTTTCAACCAAGACGACGTTGGATCCTACAGGCGCATAGACGAGACAACAACGAAACTAAATTATCATTCTTACATGGACAAGATCCCAAGGGATAGATGGAAGCCTGAAGAGACTGACATGTTTTACAAGGTACAAAAGCCAAAGTACTTGCGCCAGTCTAACATCCGTTTGATCAGTCTGTTCAGCAGTTTGGCACTGATTTTGCTGTCATAAAATGCCTGTTTCCGGGGAAGACACGCAAACAGATAAAAGCGAAGTACAAGAAGGAAGAGAAGGAGAATCCAAGGCGTATGTCGCAGACAATTCTCCAACCCAGGGGAGGTGTGTTACTGAGCATTTTACCTTCCATCTTTTATCAAACTAGTGTTAACGATCTCAAGTTCCAGATTTGGCTCACTATGAGGAGCTTGTGAACAAGCTCAAGGCAGCAGCAGCCGCGGAAGCGACCGCAGAGGACGAGTTTGATTTCACTTGGGATATCAATGCTACCAAGGTGAGGATGGCTTTTCTTCCTTCCCCCTTTTTTACGAAGCCTTTGTTGTTCTCTGTGTAGGGCGCTGCCGAGCCCGTCCAGGAGGACATGGCAAACGCTGAGCATGATGGTAACGAAGAGGATGGAGGCAATGGTAACGAGGAGGATGGATGTAGCTACGAGGAGATGGTGATGGAGGAAACGGCTGTGCCAAAGCAGGAGGAAGAGCGGCGAGAATGCAAACCGGATTACTCCGCTGCAACGCCACCACCGCCGGCCCTGTTTGCGTACGAGACGGAGCTCCCATTTGCATACACGTGACGTGACTGATTTCAGCGCTAACGTTTAGGCATTCAGAAATTTTCTGTGCAAAATTTTTTTTGAATACGTTGAGTAATTGTCTATTTTTGTTTTAGATTAATTTTGTGGCAAACAGGATAAACCATGTCCAGATAATATCATGGATGGGTTGAATGTGAGATATGTGTGCTATATGTTGCTTACCCATTTGTTATATTTGTAGACCAAGTTGAGCTTCGATTTTGTATGGTCTAATAGACCAGCCACATGATGTTGATAAACTTCGGATCAGCTTATTGACATTGTATCATAATAACACCATTGGTACTTTTGTGCCCTTGCCAAAGATTCTAAGGATTTTTTCATATAATGTTGGTATAACATGATTTAATTACTTCCACCATATGTATTCTTCCCTTATGCAATAGCATGGAGTAATCAACATCAAAACCATAGCACACAAACAGTAGACATCTTTACGAAGGTGTTGGGTGAGGCACAGCTTTTCCACCTCAAGGTACCAGTTGCTAGTCTGCTTAGGTCCCTAGGAATCACGCACCAATCAGTCAGGAAATAACTTACATATAGAGCATGAAAGACTTGTGAATATCAACTTGTTTTACTCTTTACCATCCTCGAATACAGCCACCACAAGAGTCAAGAACAAACCGGTTGTGGGTGATGGTGTTGGTGGAATCGTCTCTGATGTACGTCCCTTTGGCTAGTCCCACAATCTCGGATCACGCGATGGGCCCTTGGTGAGAACATCGTCGATCGCTCCAAACTTGCCACCCGGGACGAAAACCACCGTGCAATTGCTAGTCATGGTGAACAAGCCACATGCATGCTCCTGGAATTGATTAGATCGATCGTGTCGTGGAAATAGAACTCCAGCACTTGGATTTGAGTTTAGCAAGAGCACCAAAGCACCTAAGGGGCAAAGAAAAACTTATAATGAGTTGTTCAACCTAAAATTAGGTAATGCACCAATTTAAATACCCATGCATGTAAACGAAGCAAATGAAAAAGAAGTCATGCGTGACCACTTCTCCCCATCACGCTGCTTCATAGTTGTGCTAACTCTGCTTTCAGTTCCCGCTACTCTGGCTCTGAACTTCTCATTTTTTGAAGAAGCAGCAGATGCCAGATTCGCACCAGAAGGCTATGACTACATCATTGTTGGAGGAGGTGCCTGTGGATGTGCACTAGCGGCAACTCTGTCGCAAAAGTTCAAAGTCCTGCTGCTGGAAAGAGGCGACTCCCCGTATGGATATCCCGTGCTGATGAGAGAGGAGAATTTTGCAGTGAGCATGCTCGATCTAGCTCATTCTCAAGCATTTCTGACCACAGACCTGGTACTGAATGCAAGAGCAAGAGTCCTTGGGGGAGGAACCTCCATCAACGGTGGCTTCATGACTCGTGCACCAAAGTCCGAGATAGACAGCATCGTGGGCTTGGATGACTACGCTCAAGTGAATGCATCTTATGAGTGGCTTGAGAACGGGATATCATCGCTACCTCGGACTGGACCCTTTCAGACCGCTTACAAGAATGCGCTGCTCCAAGCTGGTGTGACGCCCGATAATGGTGTAACTTACGATCACCTTCCAGGAGCGAAGGTTGGAGGCACTCTCTTTGATGGGAATGGAACTCGGAGGCCTGCATCAAACTTGTTGCCCCTGTATGCGAATCTGACCAACGTCCAAGTTGTGATAAACGCTCTTGTTCAGAAGATCATCTTCTCAGGTAATTATTCAGTTTTTATAAGTTTGACGTTGTTTTCGTTTCTCTTAAATAGGTTCTGGTACTCCAAAAGCTGTAGGTGTTCAAGTCACAGGCCGTTTATCTGGGAAAACGTATACTGTTCTTCTCCGGAATTCATCCAAAAGTGAAGTGATACTCACAGCAGGTGCAATAGGCACTCCTCAGCTGCTCATGCTTAGTGGAATTGGTCCCAGAGACCACCTTCAAGCTAAGAAAATCAAAGTGGTCGCGGATTCCCCCGATGTTGGAAAACACATAGTTGACAATCCATCCACCAGAGTCTACATCGGCTCACCATCCCCAGTTGAAGTTTCCCTCATTCAAAGTGTGGGGATCGATCCATCTGGAACATACTTCGAAGGGTTAAGCAGTCCGCAGAAGAGTCCAATCGTTGTGGTCACGCAGAAGGTCGCTAAGCCTCGTTCAAGTGGAGAGATCCGGCTTTTAACTCTGAATGCTGATGATAATCCTCAAGTCACCTTTAACTACTTCAAAGACTCTGTTGATATGCAGACGTGCGTGAGTGGAGCCAACACACTTGAAGAAGTTTTACTGACTTCCAGCTTCAGCCCTTTCATCACTGCTTTTCAGCCCATGCCTTCTGGTGGCATTGTGGCTGCTCCAAATCGAAGGAATCCTTTACTAAAGCCAACCATCAACATAACACTCGCACTATACTGTCGAACAGCTCTGGCAACCATGTGGCATTACCATGGTAGCTGTAGAGTGGGAAAGGTGGTGGATCGCACTTACCGAGTTATTGGGGTCGAAAAACTCCGAGTGCTTGATAGCAGCGTGTTTGATTTCTCTCCAGGGACGAATCCTCAGTCGACTTTCATGATGCTAGCAAGGTACAGTATTATTTCTCATTTTCGTTATTCTTGTTTTGAACTAAATCACCTCTGCAGGTACATGGGATTGGAAATGGTTAAGCAGGCCTAGGCTTAAATGTCATTTTGCTTTACTTGATTATGAACAAAATAAACTTCATTTGATTTTAATGTCTTCTGATGTGAACATCTTTACATGGTAAGTTGAAGCCACCAGACAGAGCTAAAAAGTCTACTCTTGATTGGATCATGTTTGAAAAAAACTGATGTCGTTTTCTGAATATTGATTTTTATGCAAACATACTAGAATAGATATTTTGGGATATTCTACCAGGTATTTATAATTTATATAGTATACTCTAGCAATAAGATTAATCTGGTCAATTAAATTAATAAATAATACTAAATATGACTATTACTGCATGCAGCCCACTATTCTCAAAATATAAATATTCTAGTATATGCTCAATCTGATGGTTATTATTCATTTAGATTAGTTTTTTGAGATTATCCAAGGAATTTTCCTAGAATATCCAGGTATATTTTAGGATATTCTTTTCTAATTTGTTGTAATCCTTTAAGCACATTTATCCGTCAAATCTTAGTGGGGTGATTTCAATGAAAAACTTGGGAAACTAGTGTATTATTGTCAGACATAAATTCTCAGCCATAGTTTTGGTTGGATATAAATTCTTCTCTCTCTTTCTTTCCAAATTAGAAGAGAAAAAAAGTGAGAGAGGATATTGTTGTATGATATAAATAAAATAATTATATTAATATCACTATTGTAGCACATAACTAAAATTATATTATTAAGATAGTTTTGGTTTGTGTAAAGAATATACCTAGAATATAGAACCTCACTTTGGCTCTCACAACAAAGCCTTCATCTTATCAGTTTTTTTCTCATTGATTTAATTATTAGTAATTCTTTCTAGCTATAAATATGAACTAGGAACAAAATGACCTTTGATTAGTGAATGTCACCCGGTGGTGATAATATAGCGTACCAAATTATTTGTATGAACTTTACAACAATACTACAAAGCTACAACCCTTTTAGTTAACCTTTTCAAAAAACCTTAACCAAAGGTTGTATACAACTTGCATGAGATCCTTACTATAATAGATTATAGTAAGGATTCCATGTAGAATTTAACATGTTGATAACATGTATACAACCAGTATCCATATCCTTTCTAAACCACCACCAAAGTTAAGGTGTGGTCACTCTGATATTGTCAAATGAGTCATTTTGTTTTGAAATAATCTCACATTTTCTATTCTAAAAGTTTTTTCTCTTTAGCTTCTCTAAGTACCAAACCAGATGTTTTCAAGGAGCATTGCTTGGCTGTTGAGCTACTGGGGTAATCTTCTAAAAATCACTGTTGAAGCTCTTCATCGTGTAGCCTTTGGAGCTTGGCCTTGTGCTCCTTGAGAACATCTGGATGCACGTTTTGTGCCTGGAGGTGCTCTAGAACCTCGGCCTGGCATCTAATTGCTTGGCTCCATCTAAAATTTTCAGAAAAAAAACATAAAAATCAAAGAAAAACCAAATTAGATACCTACCTGTTCATGGACGAGTATACCGCTACCAGGCTGAGAGCTGCGGCCAAGATGCTGGGATGCCCCATTCCAAAGTTCTTCTCAGCGATCGCCTTTGCCCTCTCGAAGTGCGAGGCGGCTACTGGAATATTTTCGAGCTCCAGGTATGCAAATCCCATCAAGTTGAAGACCTCAAACAGGCCCTCGTGCTCACTGCTCTCCGCCTTCAGAATCTCCATGGCCCGGGTGAGTTTTATCAGTGCGGTCCTCATCCTTACGACGGTAAACGAGGAATTCGTCCCTGTTCCATCGTTACGAATGCAAGCCATTGCAGCATCTACATACTCTGCGGCCAAAGACCTCCCGAATTGGCTCTTCCGACATCTATCATGCAAATGCATAACATCAAGGAGAAAAATAAAATCAAGTTTACCTATTGTTCCCGCCGCCACCTTGTTCCTTGGCATGACCTAGTTCTTCTATCTCGCAAGCTTTATCCTCGCTGCTAGTTTGGATAGTTTCTGAAGATTCTTGTGCATGGCAACTATTGATGTCACCAACTCTCTCCTTGCTGCTAGTTTGGATAGAATCTACATGGTGTATTGGAGCTTCTGAACATTCCTGCACGCCAACGTCAATCGCAAAGTCTCCCTCTTTTTCTCTTAGTAAACCATCCTCGGCTTGCTGGAGCTCCGCTTCGTTGCGACAGCTGATAAAACCTAGCTCGACTCGAGTTTCATGTTTTTCCCTATCTCCATCACCATCATCTTTCCTTTTTCTCTCAAAGACCCACCAAAGCCCGAACGCTACTAGTGCTACCACTCCTACGAACACCACAAAAGGAATCAAAGATAGAAGCGCTGTTGTTTTTGTTGACGCTGGTGATATAGTTGGAGTTGGAGTTGGAGATGGAGTTGGAGATGGGAATGGAGTTGGAATAGTTGGAGATGGAGTTGGAGATGGGAATGGTGTTGGAGTAATAGGAGATGGGAATGGAGCTGGAGCTGGAGCGAATGGCAATGGAGACGGAGGAACTGGAACTGGGGGCCGAAAGTGATGGTGATGCCATCCAATCCTTCTTGAAACTCCCCAACCTTGATAGTCGTGAGGACCTCTCCCAGGATCCATGAAAGGGAAAAGACAACTTCAAAGGTTTTAATAGCTCCGACCTCGTCCTTTTAGCAATCTAAGTTTGTTCGTCCCTGTAAACCAGCCTCCCACAGTGCCATCTCTTTGCCCTTTTGGAAACACAGCCCGGAATCTCTTGTAGCATCTCCCTCTCGACATCTGTACACGTTTCCTCGTTGGCCTTTGCGGACACGTCGATCGAGCCGTGGCCTTTTCTGGAGCTCTGATCGTCAGCTTCGCTTGTTTGATCGAGCTCAAGCTTCTCCTTATCCCCCGCGAGGATACTTACATCCTCGGGCTTGCATTCCACCGCCTTGATGGATCGCGCGGCCTCGGCTAGCAGCTTGCGTGTCTCGAGCAGCGATGCCATTGCGAATTGGTCTTTGAACGCGATGGCTTCCAGAGCTTTAGCAGCGGCTTCAGCCTCAGCCATCAACATTCTATACGTGAAAAACACAGCCATGAGTTTTGGAACGATAAGGAGAATCCCAAACACTTACTTTGCTCGCTCGGCGGCCTCTTTCTTCTTCGTATCAACCAGCAACCGACTCGCCCGCAGTTCGCGGAGTTTCTCGGTCTTCTCCGACGCTCGCAAGTCCACGAACGTTGGTACCGGGGGAGAAAGTTTCTTGGCTTTATCGGTCGCACTCTCGAGCCTAGAATGCACAACGCCATTCACCTTCACCGGTGGCTTCTTCTTGAGCACATTCGCAGCTTCTTTATCTTCGCCAGCCATAACCGCGGACACAAACTTCTCGTTTACGCGTACCCCCGCGGCTGTTCGTCGCGGTTCACCACCAACGAGTGGAATTCCAACTGGTTTTGGAGGTTTCGGAGGCTTTGGAGGCCTTGCCGGTCTCGGCGGCCGTGGTTCCCTCCGGGGCTTCGAGGATACTTTAGTGTCTCTTACCCGCTGTTTCAGAGCTTTCATCACCTTGGTCCTGTACTCCTACACCAAAACACGAAATCTTAAGCTCCTCGAGGAAATGAAGAAAAACTGAAGCTTACTTCCGATTTCCACTTGGCTTTGATAGCCTCTGAAACTTTCCGGCGGTGCTCATCACTCCATTCCAACCTCCTCTGGCTTCTGGACGTGACTCGCATGCCATCCTTGAGTTGCCTGATTTCTTCTTTCTCCCGTTGCCTCTCGACATCGTAACTATCCCATTGCAGTTCCTCTTGGTCGTCTCCTCCTTGTCTCGCAGCCTCTGCAATGCATTCTTGCCACTCGGCCAGGCATTGTTTCTGCAACGCTATCTCCTTGAGCTTTCTTACCCAGTGTTCGTGGACCCCGATGCTGATCTTGGCTTTAATATCATCGCTGTAAAACATCTAGCTTGTCAATCCATCGCGTAACAAAAGAGCAGAAATTTTTTACCTCAAATTTTGCTGGAACCCCCGCAACTTCTCCCTGATCTGTCCATAAAAAACGAAGACAAAAGATGCAGCTATCATATATGTTTTTCCAAACCTTGGGATCTCTCATCGCCAGTAACGTTCTCTCCCTGATTCGCTTGATAGTCTCTGTCGCGGAAAGAAAGGAAAAATCTCGATAGCTTGGAAAGTAACAAAACAAATCGAGAAACCTGGTGGATGTTTTCTTCCTGTGTTCCAAGGAAGCCGGCCTTTGTTCGCGGCACTGATTCGTTGCCTCCGCAGCTCTTCCACCTTGAGTTGCTCTTCAGGAGTCCGACCCTTGCATGGCCCCGGCAGCATTTTAAGTCCCTTGTTCCATGGAACTCTCTTTGGACGCACGCTCAAGCTTTTCTCCTTGCCTTCACCTGTATAGATGCAAAAGCATCAGCACTCTACCTCAATTTCATCTGGTACCAGTTTGATCATCCACACTCTTGTCATGTTGAGCGCTACACACCGTCAGTGCTCCTCTTCTTCCTGGGAACAATCTAATGGAATTCTTTTGCGGGATTTCTCTGTCCCAGGAGCTGGCAGATACTCGTGATGCTGGCCTGCGAGACTCCAAGATTTTAAGCATTTCTACTGAGGAGCTTAACGCTTACAAGGCAGTTGAGCTGCATAGACTCATCCCTCGAGAAACACGAAATTCTCCAAAGTTCGTGCCTGCGTCACAAAGTTAGGCAAGATTATGGAGAGGAACTGCCTTACCAGCTGCATTGCTTGGCGATCACATTGCCAATAAACCCTAGCTCGCTACTCCTATCCGCCAAGAACCCTAAATTTGTAATATCCAGACTGCGCGCTATGGCAATTACGTCCAAGCTCTTTTTGGGAGGACCTCAAGCCCCAACCAGTGTTGATGGGATGATGGACCATATCGCATTTTGCGCTATGTCTGGACTCAGAGACAATGCGACTGGAACCAGCATCCATACAATGCAGCAAATAGCCTGTAAAGGCATCCTAGAGCTTTGTGAACTATAGCAAATACCCCGTCAAGGCATCCTTGCGCTTTGTAAACTGCAGCAAACACCACCTTGACTTATGTCTTCTCTGAAGTCAAACAAAAGATAAAATAAAGAGATCATATCAGGAGTTTGACTTTGAGCACCGACAGAGATGATTTTAAACTTTTCTTCTCCTGCGGTTGGCAATCACGACTTTCTACGCTCAGCACTTGATATTTTATCGGAGAGCTTTGTCACTCACTGCACAGTCCGAGCATGGCCCAACTCCTGATCATGGCGCTCCTGATTGGCGTTGTCATCGCAGGGGTACATCCAAAGCATTAAAGCTCCACAAATAATTTTCGGATTCTTCTATTTTTCTTTCCAGGCTACCGCATCGTTTCCTGGTCGGTATCATCTTCTAGGCACAAAAAAGGTCGAAAAACCCCTCTCCCTCTCCCTCTCTCTCGTTTTTTCCTGATCCCGCTAAGCATTGCTTTTGGCTGTTGTAGATTTACGTGCAAATTGTTGGGCGTACCGTAGGCAACAAGACTCAAACCGAGTTCCCCGTATCCGGGGGGCCCGTACAGCAGTTCCCCAATTACACTCCAGGATACCAGGCAACGTACAGCGCAAAGTTCACCAAAGCGCTGGATTATTTCTCAGCCCAGCTAGGGACAATCACGGGTTTTATTGGTGCCACCACAAACACTTCTACATTCCAGACGGGCACCATAGCTTTCAAGGATGGAAGTGGAAGCATATACTTTTCTGGCACAGCCGATGGATCTCTCTCCTCCAAGTTTGTTTTCTCCATTACCAGTGGTATTGGCCGTTACCTTGGAACCTTTGGTGACATTCAAGTTTCACTAGCAAATGTTACTGACAGTGGAACTAGTATTACAGTTCTCTATACAGTCACTCTCTATGCTACTCCAAGGCTCCGCAATTAGCCAAGGATCTGGCATGAAAGCATAAAACCACTAGGAGGAAAGCCATGTAAAACTTGAAAAACTTTTGCACCTATGTAAATCTTAAAGCCAAATCATCAAACTTCTAAAAATAAATTTAGAATTCCACACTCATACTGTCTAGAGGGCATGAAACCCAGTCTATTTAAGTATAAATATCTCTGTTCAAGATTGATAGTTTAATAGTTGTGAAGTTTGTCAGAAGTGTCTGAACAACGAGACACAAGTTGTCCGTCCACATGTTGTCCTACAATTAGTCTACAATTTTATGGCCATAATACACCCATGATGGCATATTTCCATTATCACCATACATGCATATGCATCAATATGGAGTATAATTTTGATTGCCGGTACCCAAGATTAGATTCAATCAGTAGATGAGTTTTTTGAAGTCTATTTTCTATGTAGATCATTGTTGCAATGTTGAACTGCCAATGACATATATGGAAGTTTTCCAATTTACATTTTCTAATTGGGTCTAGTAGAGGATAAAGAATATAGGGCTGCAGCATTGATGTTTTTAAGAGCGAGACCATTGAGGATAGAAATGTTTATGAGGTAAGTTAAAAATATCCATTGTTATAGTCATTTGCACAGGGATTTGAAAAGCCAACTTATATAAGTACATGAGGCTCATTGAATCCTTCTAAATCATCATCTCACCAATCATTGGAATTGATATCAAAGAAAACCATGTGGTCTAGCTTTTGGGGCTAATATAAAATGTGGTAGGCTTTAGAATATATTACTTTGGTTTGAAGTGTTAGTGTTTTTGCATGCATTTATGTGCCAAGAACAACAATGTCACCATAAAAGTCCAATCTATAGAAGTCTAAACAGTAGTAGAGGATATGCACCTCCCTACTGGCATCCAAGAAGTTTCTATTGAAGGAGAACATGAGCATAAAGAGGTAGACAAAGAGCATATGGAGATGGATGATGATGTTGAGGATAACTAATTGCCTTAAGTGGAGCAAATACCAAATATTCACATTCGATCATGACTTGCATTACATTCATTATACAGCTTGTATGTTCTTTAGAGCATCCACTATTTGCTTACAGCAATAAAGAAGGCACTAGAGGGCTAAAACCACCCTTTCTTGGGAACATGTGCCAGTCATAAAGCTGCTAAATAGCATCAACATATTTATGTAAATGTTGTCCTTAAATTGCATGGTGTAGGGTATAATATAAATGCATGTAAGTTCTTGTTCAATTAGAAGCAATGGCTCAACACAAGTGACCAATACAATAATGTTATTACACTTGCAAGCAAGGAGGATGTATAGCTCAATTTGTTCTACATTGTGGGAGGTTGGAGTAATATTGGATATGGTTATAAAGATGGAGAGCAATAATAAAAAACCTAGACTTCTAGCATCTGGAGGAAACTTTGACATTGGAAATAGTGGGGATGAAAATATGGTTTTAATGATTGCTAGCCTTGCCAAACTTCTTTAAGTGGGTGGTGAGGCTTTTTTATATTATGTACTAAATAATCATGCCATGACATGCTAGCGAGAGTGGCAACCAATCTTAGCTACTGCAAGTTTTTGAGATTAATTTCAAGCAATTGTTTTGTGATGGTGGTATTTAAGATGTCCTCAATAATGCATCAAGCATTGCAAGGAGAGAGGACATGTTGGAAGAGACTATGCCTTGGTATTAGGAAAGATTGTGAGCTAAAATATCCACATTGCTACACTTTCTCAAATTAAATATATTTATTAAGCAACTACAAATGTGATTTGCAATCTAAGGGACTATAAGACACAAATCCCTAAGGCTTAAAGTGGAGCCAAAACCATGTCAAATGCTAGTGACTGAAGTAAAAGTCTAATAAGCATAACATATTTGGACCAAAAACTCCAACTCGGAAAGTCAAGAGTGGGAGTGAAACTCCCAAATAAGTGCTTAAGGAATGAATATAAAGTGATCAATAAGTGAGTCACTTGAAAGGGACATAAAAAGGACCAACATATGGCAAGTGTCATGACATATAGAAGTGTTAAGATCGAGTGCGAGACCAAAACTAAGACAGAGATTGAGATCAAATTCAAGATTGAGATTAAGACTAAGACTGAAACCAAGACTAAGACTGAGTCTAAGTTCGAGTCCAAATCCAAAGGTGAAAGCCTAAAGTGATCCCAAAAGGGGGTTCCAAAAGTATAATAAGGAGAGTATAAGGAAGAACTTCAGTGAAATTAATTTGGTCAAGAAAGGTTAGTGTAACCAAGGAAGGCTACACTTATGTGGTGGGTGATGATATAACCATTAAGGAGTCCAAAGTTAGAGTGAACATCAATAAATAAATAGAGTAACTTTGTAAAGTGGTCAAAAGCTAACTTTAGCTCCCTTGGGATATTAAATGGTTGATGCTCTTAATCCAAATATGAGTGGTATTACTTATTTGGATATCTTATGTGGCTCATTAGAATCTTGCTCTAGCCATGGCTGGGGCACCCTAGAGGCAAAAGGTGGGGGAAGTACTTATGAGGCCCACATTGGGCCATGGTGTTTTGAAATGTCAAGGCCGAGTTTGAGATAAAGCCCATGGCCAAGTTTGAGATGGAGGTAAGACTAGGTCTGAGATAGAGTTCAAGTCCAAAACTAAGACCGAAACCAAGATTGAGTTTGAGGCCATAGTCAAGACTAAGATTGAGACCAAGTCCGAGTCTGAGTCCGAATCAAAGTCTGAATACGAATACAAGTTGTGGGGTGAAAGCTCAAAGCAAACATCCCTCAGGAAGGGGTCTACAAGAGATTCCAAAAGTATAGTAGGAAGAGTGTATGGGAAAATTTTAGTGGAACTAGTTTGGTTAGAAAAGGCCAATGTGATTAAGGAGGTTACATTCATGTGGTAGGTGATGATATAACCACTAAGGAGTCCAAGGTTAGAGTGAACATAAATAAACACTTGGTGAAGTGATCAAGAGTTAACTCTAGATCAAATGATTAGTGGTGTCGCAAATGTGACTTCGGGTATCAAAAGATATTTGTCGGCTAGTCCTTACAAACACTCTTTCCTTACTAACATGATAGCAGAAGGTTAGTACAATTGGTTCCCTTTATCATTCCCACTTGAGTTAGTTGAGAAACTGGTCAATGACCTTGCACTTAAATTGGATAAACATAAGGTAGAAACCCTATGTGTTTTTTGCTGAGCATACTCGGCCTGGTTTGAAAACTCGTATCATTTGCTTGCATTTGCTAGTATCAAGAAACCTTGCGATATTGAAACTAATCCCTTAATATTGTTGGATGATAACTTATTATGTTTGCCAAACACCTTTGCTATTATGGATACGCAGGCCACCGAGTGATAAG